ACCTAGGTTCCGAGGGATTAGACTCGAGATGGCCCCTTCGTATTTTGGCTGCCAGGCTTGAGACCCGGGCAGGTTGAAGCTGGAGTCTGGACAGGGTCTGCCAGTTACGTAGGCCTGGGAACCAGCCCTACCTTCTCGGCTCAGAGGGCTAGGGAGGGACTACGCTGCTACGCTGGGACTTGAAATAACCAACACGCCAACACAGCAATTATGTAAATAAATGCTTGACTCAAAAAACGCTAACTTTTCTCTCTCCACATTTTCTCTTACTGGGTTTTTTTTTTTTGGGGGGGGGGCACGGAGCTTTTGGCTGCCTGTCCAGCCTTTTAAGAAACTAGTTGGAACCAAAACATTAAAACCAGAAAGTTCCTTTCTGTTTCGCATCGAAGTTTACAACACCCCCAAAAGAAAAGGCCTTTGCCATCCCACTTTGCACCTCTGGGATAATCTAGAGAACATGTGTGGCCAGCAGAGGGACCTCACTGTCCAAAAAAATCATAGTCCTTCCAGAGAGTCCCTGGGGGAGCATCCATAATGTTTGATTGAAAGCCTGAAATGTCCCAGAAAGTTTTTGAAATTTTTAACTGAAGCATACTGAAGTAACTAGTCTGTAGTCATTTTAACGCTAGTCAGACAATACCAGATGGACAAAAATCCATTAACTACAAATTTCTAAGACACCAAGAGCTCTGAATGTTTGAAAGAGGTAGAGGTGAAAATGCTCGAAAAACCCACTTTTATGACATGCCTTTTTTTCCGTGTGGATGACGCTCACCCGCCCCAGCATCACAGTGCTCACCTGCCCCAGGCTCCGCCCTTGTCCACTGAGCAACACTTCTGAAAAGCATCCACCCTCTGAAATAGGCCCGAAGGACCCCAGATGGCAGTATGACCACGTGGTAGTTATCTGATGCCCTCGATTCCATGACATGCAGGCATTTACAAGTGACAAAAACATGGTGTTTCCAGAGCAGAAATCAAGCTCTGCCTTGTTTGTATTACTCAAAACCTCCAAGGTTGGGAGACATGGGATGGGCATTCCAGGCCAACTCTAACACTGCAAACTTTTACATGTGCAGCAGTTACTTGGCTATCTGAAACAATCATGCCGGTATATAAAATGAAGCCAACACTGCCATCACAATTATAAAAGACAATAGATTTTTTTAAAAGTACCTCATATTGAATAAATGATATTCCAGAGATTAAATTTACCAGAAATAAGTGTAAATATCCAATAAGCACAAAAAATTTAGTAGTCATAACTTTTCTGGAATACTTATAAATACTACCCCAAATCTCTTAATACTGTGTCTCTAAATAACATAATCCTGCAACTTGTGCTTTCAGTCCCCGTCCATACCGTCAGTGCAGCAGTCTTTCCCTCTGATGCTTAGTCCACATTCTTTCAAGTAATACTTTATTTTCAGACATCGAGTCCTTTAATTCATGCAAAAGAAATAAAGCCACTACTTAAATTTTACCTAAGAAGTCAGTAAAACACTCAAATACTCTGCCCAAAATTTCCATTGCCTGAAGCCTGATACCTTGAACGAACCTCAACTCCCCAAACCAGCCATTTTCATTTCAGGAATTTAACCCTAAGAAGACAATAACGTGATGAAACATCTCCTCCCCAAGTTGTAGCCTATCATGACTTGTTCTTTGCCCATTAGGAACATTTAATGTTGTGGCTCCCTGAAGTATACTGCTGACAGCTACAACCACTTCAGCAGTGGATTTGTGGTCGCCACTGAGTTATTAAACTGATCTAGCATACTTGCTAATCCCAAGCACAGATGCACCTGGGATACAGCAGTGAAGAAAGAAAATCCGAGTTACGGCACCATGAGGATTCTGGGAAATGTAGTCAAAAGAAGTCTTGCGATACAGGCAGGAAGTGACATAGCAGGCAGACTCATATATAAGCAGGGATAAGCAGGAAGTCATCATCTTGCGCTTCCTCTTCCTCCTGCTTTCTGCTCTACAGAGCCACCTTGTGATTCCGGGAAGGGGACAACAGCGCAAGGCATCCTTGCTAAGTCTTATAAAGTATATAAATTTATGATAATTAAGACGGAGCTAGCATATAAGAAATCCTAGAAAATTGGCCAGCAGCATTGTAAACTAATGTAAGTCTCTGTGTGTTACTTGGGGGCACCCACGAGGCAGCAGGACTCAAGCAGAAAGAGTAAATAGTTACATTTTACAGCATGCCTTTTAGCAGGCAAAATAGCAAGTAAGAAATACTGCCTGGTGCTGCTATGTGCCCTTCTTTTCTCAGCTACACTTGGCTGTAATCATAATGTGCCCATGTAGACAAAATCCTGACAAAAATAGTAACTCTAGAGTTAATTTTAACTTTAGCCAAAACATGATTTCTAACCAGGTATTAGGCAGCTGGTTTTTCCTGTAGAGTACATTCCATATCTACTTCAGACCATGGATTATAGTCTCTAAACACCATCTAGTGTGTGGTCTGGAACCATACACTAGCCACCTATACACTACCTAGTCATTCAATTTTTTCTTTTTTGAATGGACTCCAAAAGAAGAGTAGTATTACTACTTTTATGTGCATTAGAGTTTTTGCCATGGGAAGTTTCTAGTCCCCTGAAACTGGAATTACAGACAGCTGTGAGCTGTCATGTTGGTGCTAGGAGTTGAACTTGGGTCCTCCTGAAAGAGCAGTCAGTGCTCTCAACTTCCAAGCCATCTTTCCAGCCCCAGATATAATTTTTTAAAATCAAAATATTTCCACTATTGAACAGGCATCCAATATAATGAACAAGACTTAAAAATACTTACCCGTCAAACCACCATTTTCACTTCTAGGAATTTATCCTAAGGGAGTAACACTAAAATACTTAGCTGCAAGAGGCCAGGTGCGGTAACCTGTAATCCCAGCAATTTAGAAGGCTGAGGCAGCACAGTGCCTGTGAGTTCAGAGCTAGTTGGTAGGCTTGGGGCTATTAGGTTGTAGTCCTGTGTGACTGAGGTTCTGCCTCCTAAAGATAAACGCTTTAGCTCTAGGAGCTGTATTTATGACAGCAAAATATGGGTATTGAGAAATCATCAATGAAATGCTTAGGTAAGTAATATAGTGAGTCATTAAAAGTGATATATTCAGAGGTAGGCAGGTAGAGCTCTGATTTCAAAGCCAGCCTAGGAACTGTCTGGCTGTGTCAAAACCAAGAACAAACCAATGTATTCATCAACTGCACATGGATTTTGTTTTTTTTTTTTAATGTAGAGAAAACCTATAAATTTATGAGATATATTAGCCAACTGCAATGTGTGATCATTTGCGGACTGACTTGGGAAAACCATATTGTTTTATGCAATTTAAGGAGGTAATACATCATTACACAAGATCCTTCCTTTCAGAGATTCACACTGGATGATCTGCTGGTGAAATGCTTTGAATTTCCTTCACAAGGGGGGAAAAAACAGAAAAGGAAAAATGTCAGTGGGGCTTGAAATATAAAGCAATGCTGCCATGAGCCTATGACTGCTGAAATTACAGTGGTGCATTTGAAAATTTTCAACATTTTTTTAAAATATTCCCCATCTAAGTAAAAGAAGATCATAAGGCACTTTTGTCAGCAGACTGGGGAAGACAGCTCAGGCAATAGAGTGCCTGCCAATAAGCACAGGAGGATCTGAGTTTGGTCACTAGGACCCATGTCAAAAAGTCAGGCATGGTGGCACATGTTTGTAATCCCAGCACTGCCACCAGGGAGGCAGAGGTAAGATTCTTGGCGCTCACTGGCCATCTGTCCCAGCCTGACTAACAGACAAGTCCCAGGCCAGTGAGAGACCTTTCTTCAAGCGAACAATGTAAACTGTACCTGTGGAGGAATGGCATCCCAGAATGTACTTGTCTCCACGCTCACATGCTCACCTGCACGCACCTGCACCCGCAAACACATAAGCATGCACACATATGCACACGAAATACACAAAAAGCCACTTGTGGACTCCGTTTTGGACAGCACAGGTAGGTGACAGAATTACAGATGATTTTTCTTTTTCTTGGGTCTTGTTTTCTGAGTGATGTTACTGACTGACTCTCTGGAATCAGGTCCATCCTCCAACTCCCCTGCCTCTGCCTCCCAGCGTGTGGAGATTACAAGCACATGCCATCATACCGAGTCCTTTTCAGCTACTTAAACTTTATTTTGGCAGTGAAGATGTACTGTTTTTGCAATAAGGAAAGAAACAAGCCTTCGTTTAAAACACTTGCTGTGGGTTCTCTTTTAGAGACTGTTCTGGAAATGAGATGTCAGTTCACAAGGCGATCACTTGAGAGTCTGCATCTGCTCTGAACTAACTTTTGAAGGAGAAGCAAAGCCGAGCTTCACTTCTAGATCCCTATTTCAGGTCTGTCTCCTTAGTCCCATTCCCACAGGAGCAGAGTTTTGTTTACTAAAAGGATGGAGTGTGGGTGTGTTCTCAAGATCTGGTCACAGAGGTGACCACATCAACTCCTTCACTCTCCCCAAGTGGCTCAACTCCAGCACAGACAGTGTCCCAAGTGACATCATCTCCAGTTGAAACAACCAACCCATCCTCTTCCAGTTTCAGCAACACATCCCCAGCCTCATCAGAAGAGTAAACCAGAGCACCCTCTACAGATTCCACCTCAGGAAATACAGGGCACACATCTGCAATGGTTTCTCAAAGTTCTTCCTCTGTCATTACTGGAGTCCCAATGACAAAGGAACTCTAACGGACTCTTTAGTTCATGAAGCAGGGGCTGCAGCATCGCTGGAATCGGGGAGAAGAAAATATTGGAAGGATCAAAATGGATTTCTGAACTCAAGTAATCGGCCAACAGGATCAACATGGACTGCCACTATTTGGAAGGATGTGGAGGCAGATGGGACCTTAACTATAACAGACGTTAGGCCAGTACCACATAGTTCAAAAGAAGTCTGAGCATGTACAGTGACTGTGCCAGAAGTGAGATATTTTTTATTGACTTATTATTGTAAATTTTCAGCATACAAAGTAATCAAGTATATTTACAATTCTTACATAATGTACATTTTAGAATAACTATAAAGATAATGTACTTTGCTCCATTTACAATGACAAACTACAGAAAAACTACATTCATGAATTAGATACAAATCTTCTACACACTAATAAAAACTAATGGAGTGTTGGTTATACATTCGTAAATCATTTTCACAGGTAGCAAGAAATAGTACATGTGACCAATCTTTATGACCGGAATGATCGAGAACACAGCGAAGCACACTGAAACAAAGATGTAAAAAGCAGCTTGTCATTTCCAAAAGCTAACCTTTAGCCTTCGTGTTAAATGGTGCTAACAACCTTCATAGCACAGCAAGCTTTCCCTGCTAAAAATTAATACCCAAAATAAGGCTGGGGAATGAGAAAAATCTAGAAAATAAAATAGTAAGAAGACCAATGCAAAGAAATGTGTATTTAATTAAATATTTCTTTGTCCACATGATCCCCCTCTATGTAAACAGAAAAAGACACCCACAAAAATCCTTCTAGGTGTTAGCACTCAGCCAAACTGAATCCAAGCCCTTTCTATGGTTATGTCATTCAAAACCATCAAAAAGTTAATAAACGGTGAGTTTAACTTCATAATACTTTGCTTTTATTAATGCTTGCTATTGCAAAAAATAATGTAGACTTTTCTACAATTTGATGCTTTCAAATTCCAATCTAGTCCTTTAACCTGCACAATGAGGTTCTCCCGATTATTTGGAGTCTCTTCTCAAACACAGGGAAAGCTGCTGCTTTACAGTGATTTCAAATCCTTTCATGATACAAGTGCTTTTGAAGCTTACGTCAGACCTAGGGCATGGCTCAGCTCTGCCTCCAAGTAGCAGAGCAAGTGACAACCTCTGTAAAACAAGAGGACCGAGCTAGGATGAAGCCTCGGACAAGGCGGATGCCCAAGGGTTAAGATCCCCATGTCCTCCTCCGGCAAGCATCAGGAGGGAAAAAGGAATGTGAAGGAACGCTCTAAGTCATGAAAGATACACAAAGGGAGGGTTCGGAATTTTCCTTTGTTTCATCCGTTCACTTTATTTGTGGGGAGCCCTGGATCCAAGAAGGATATGAACATGGGATTTCACTAAAAAAAAAAAAAAAAAAAATTCTAGCCCATGCTAATGGTCAAAATGCAACCACACAAAAAGTTAATTGGAGAGTGAGTGGTGTAGGAATGTCCAATCATTCAAAGTGGGTATCAAGATTAGTTTTAAGTAAAACAACTTGGTTTATGATCATATCTAATATGCAAAAATTTTTATTTTTAAATACTGCTAACATGGTCACAAACTTAAATTCTCTAAAATGTGAGTGTATCATTTTTTTTCCCCAAAATGAACCTACAACGTGCTAAAAAAGTACAAGTTGCAAGCTGGATTACTTTGGGAAAGTAAACACCAAAGTCCACTACACTGCAGCAAACACTGGCTTAATCAACTGGTTAGGCACACTGTGAACAGCAGCTCAATCACCTTCATCTATGCCCATGGAAAAGCTGCATTTTATGACTCCTTCACAGCGCCTCTTTTCTTATTTAGCAGTAATCCAATTTTTACATTAATGAGAGCATAAAAAAGAGCAAACAGACTAATAATAAAGAATCAAACTATTACCAACATGTCTTTCCTGGAGAGATAATGGTAACCAATAAGAGCAGCCTGAGTGTGCGACTGGCATTGTGTATACTCATCTCTCCTAATGTATGAAATACTTCACAACACGCCACACAGAGCTATTAGTGAACACAGCAAAACTCATCTAAGCCAATCTACTTTATAACTATGAACTGAAAGCCTTGCTATACTCCATTTCTTTCTGCCATTCAATTTCTCAGCACGTTGAGAAAATTAAGTAAGCCACAGAAATAAATTCTTGCATTGCCAGCCTTCATACAATATGAAAAGATGTAGCTATTTCTAAAGATACTCAGAACCCCAATAATCTTTAAGGCATTTCAAATACACTTGAATCTTTAAGGCTTATTTCACTCTAGCAACAGACAGTACCTACTGGGAAACCAAGGACGTCCAACGTGACCCAGGGAGGCAGGCAGATCCAGAGGACTGTCCCAAGCATCTGAATCAAAGGGAAGCCCTCTGCACCTCCACAGACGAGGCAGTAGCTCCACAAGTGACTGAGAGCAAGCCCTGCAGAAAAAGGCGTGCTTTCTTCTCTCTCTCCCTTTCTTTAGCCTGTTGTTCTTCCTTGAACACATTTTAGGACAATACATTTCAAAATACATACCAATTAAAATTAGGCTTTTGCCTGTAACAAAATACCTACAAAGCCAGACGACCTGCAAGTTTGAGGGGAGACAGGAAAAACAAAACTCCTTTCATCCTGTGGAAGTTTGCACTTCCTCAGAAACAAAACACAACTTTATCCTTAGTGTAGGGTGACTTACTAAATAAGTGTTACGTGCTTGCAATTTGGCTGAACTTTGGGACAATATCTGTGTTGCAAATTTATTTCAATACGATTTCTGCCTAGATTCTGATTTTATATTTAATCAAAGTAAGGCTCTACATACTGTGGAGAAAATATTTAAAAAATTTTATTTAATTAACTATACTTTTATATACATTTAAAAATGTTTCTGCGAAGCTGAGTAGCAATGCTACTTACAAGTAATTTCTAAGAGATTAAACATCATCAACAGTGCTGGAAATGAACCACAAGGCAATTACTTATGCATTCCATACTCTGACAAGACATGTCAATCAGAGGTGGAATCGCACTCAACTGTGTCACATATTCATAATTTTGGAACTCAAAAGTCAATAACATATATTTTACTTAATTCTAAAGCTATATACAGGATACATTTTAAAAGAACATATACTGTTGTATAGTAAACAAGATAAATGTAGAAAAATAAAAGAAATTTATTGCTGGTAAATTTTAGTATAAACAAAAAAATTAGTTTTCTCTTCCTTTACATGGAGATTTTTTTCTTTCACCAGGAGTAACAGTATATATATATATATATATATATATATATATATATATATAATCATAAAATGGATGAATTCCAAATATAAAAATGCCCTACATTATCTTTTAAATCACCAAGTTTTGATGAAAGCCCAATTTTGCAATAGTCAACTTCTGAAACACAGTTTTATTGCACTGATCATCTGTCAAGGTTTTAGGAAATCAACCCAATAATAAAAACTGAGCTGGGAGTCTTATGGTGATTGAAAGAAGAAAAAAGTAAGAGCTCCTTTGCACCATAAAAGGAAATAAATCATCTGTACAGCAACCATGTTTGCTAAAGTACTGAAGTGCAATGGTGTCTCTGACCAAATGAGGGGCACCCTCACTAGTCCTGGCAATTACATCATCTACTGTGGGTACCATAGCTAAGCTATCAGAAAACACACACACGTATTTCTGAACCACCAACAATTATCAGGGAAGCTATAGGAAAGATACATCCTTAATACAGGTAAGAGAACTGGCTCCCACTTGATGCAGACATAGTGACTGAATGTTCCTGGGGAGAACCAGTGTTAACACCCATGGCAAAGGGTGCAAGGACCTAACAGTGTAGCATCTCTGAACTTAAGAGATAGCTTAGATCTGGATACAACGATATATAAAAGCACAACCCATTAAACAGGCTTTTTTTCTTCTTAAATAAAAGAGGAACTATAGTGGATTTCTCCCTTTCCCAACTATGAGACATTTGTTTTCATTTACAAAAATACCAATAAATGGGTACCATTTTTTCTGAACAATTAATTCAATGTCTACCAAAATCAAGTAGAATCTAGAAAGGTGTGAGATTTTGGTGGTACACATTAGGAATTCACCAAATTTCATAGACTCCCCTCTTTAAAGGGCTCAGAACTTCTGTGAATCTTGCTGGAAGCGATTGAGTTTCTCTGGATTATTGGATGCCATTTGAGAAAAATCACGAAAAATGTCCTGGTAAGTTTCATCACCTGCATGAAAGTAAAACAAAGACACTTTTAAAATTTATATGGGTAAGGTATTAATAAAACAACATTCCCTTTTGCTCATACTATTTTAGGATTCATTACATTACATTAAAGTTTTGTCCCAAGAGCATTTTTGGAAGGAAAAAGGCCAACTAAAAATAATGCCAGAAAAGTATGTAAGAAAGGGAAGCGATACCTGAGAGCAGCAGCTCAGACGCGCAGCAGGGGGCTCAGAGTTAGAGAGGAGCAAGACGCAAGCGTTTGAAAGCAATGTGAAGAAACATTCATTAGCACATGAAAGAAGAGAGGTTACTTGAGATGAAGTATACAGCACATTTTATAGGAAAACACTTTGTTGGATAAAAGTTAAAAGAAATAACCAAAGCCAAATGCTAGTTAAGGTTCTGAGGGATGCAGTTACTAAGGAAACAAGCTGGGAAGGGCTTCCCACACCATCTTCACCTGGAAGTGCTTTACACTGTCTAGCTGTTTGCAAAAAGGAGCCCACATACACTTTAAGGTTCAGAACCAATGTATCTGACCCACTGCTCACTAAACTCATTAAATCAAAAGGTCAGAGCTCCACAGTCAGAAGACTTATGAGAAAGAATGCTATGCAAAATGGGAAGGATACCAAGAATCTATTCACAATTGGAGAAATAAACCTGTGTACACTTAACACTCTTACAGAGATGTATATCATAGATAAGGACATTACGGCATGATGGGCATAGCCTTTTTTTTTTAAACCACATACACACACACACACACACACACACACACACACACACACACACACACACGTACAAATTAATCCCTCAAAGGGGGAAATTTTATTTTCAGGATGACTTACTCATCATGATGCCTCCTGCCAAACATTATGTTGGCACAGACTCCTGGCACAATTCTCTTCTCACTTGAGCATAAAATACTGTCATATAGGATTCTTGTCACCACATTGCTTTATCATTATTTCCTCTAGGCTACCTTGCACTCTACCTGACAACAATCTCATTCTTACAGTTATTGTTGACAGTACAGTTAACCAGGCAAGTCTTAGAAAGCAAGACTGTAGGAGACACAGATGTCACACCAAAAGGAGAGAATTAGAAAAATACTGAGGGGGCCAGATAGAAATCTAGTAAAAAGACCTAAAATCATAACATAAGAATTTTAATAAAAAGATTTCATTATTCTTAATATTTAGTACTTTTAATATTCAGTCTATGTAAAAAGTAATTTATTAAAATCTGGAAAACTTAATCATGACATTAAATAATCAGTTAACCCTAATCAATGTATTTTAAAAGGGGAAAATTCAGTGAAAAGAGATCTTAGCAGGATGGCTGGAGGTTAGAGCTGACTCCCACCATTCCGAGTGAAGCAAACTAAAGGTTAGTCCGCTGGAACTGGGCAGACCGTCCAATTACAGCATGACAAACTACAACCTACTTCTGTGCTTGACCATCCAATAGGACATAAAGTAAACTGAGAGGAGCGCAACATTAAGTAACAATTAACAAACCATACAAAATATTTTAATATTTTCTGTTTTTAGATGTTGAATTAAAATATGTAAAATATTTATTGTAAACATTATAAATATTTTTAAAATACTATTCAGATAGTCTAGAATTTTACTTTCCAAGAAAGTGTAAAGTGCAGATTATAATACAAAAATACCACACTGATTTTACCATTCAACACCAGAAGTAACATAAAAGGCACACATTATATATTCAGGAAGAAACAGGAGAGGGGTCTAGCAGATGCTAACGCCAAGTCATTCACAGATAGCACCAGATGGGTGTTCTCAAGTATTACAGCAGTACAATGGCGGTATATGGCTTCTACATTCAGCAATGCATATTCCGTACAACGAGCTGTTTTTCTTTATGGTTTTCTAGTGTTTGATTTTAAATCACCTAGTGGCATATTATACAAGTACATTTTTAGTAAGACCATTGTACCATGCAAAACTAATTATAAGACCTTCCATTCTCTGAATTAAACGTGTCCTTGAAGGAGAGTATTGGTGCTGTATTAATCATTGGTTTCACCAACTGCAAACATTTAAGAATCCATACAATACAAAAGAAAGAAAGTTTCTAGCCTCACACACAAAACTTGTTAAGTTCAGTTTTTTTAATTAATAACGTACTATTAATATGCTACCTTCCTTAGATCTCAAAATGTGCTGTCAAAAGCAACAATTACTTAAAATAGTCAACACAAAGTGAACTTCCTTATCTATACTTTAAGGAGAATTTTTAATCTCTTGAAAATTTTTCCCAAGGCAAATCTAATTTGTCTGAACTAGAACACATAAACAAGATGCCAGGACACATTGTCCTGGAGTCTTCCTATTAATACACTGAACAGCTTACTACAAAAAAACAGCTAAGCATTGTCTTTAAATTACTTAACCATATTTTTCCCATTCACTGACAGCTTAAACTTCACTTGAGTTTTTGGTATCCAGAATATTCATCACAACAGCAGTTAACATGACAGAAAGTGTTCAGTGGCCTTACCACTGAAATTGAGTGCTCTCAATGGATGTGGTACCCACCCTCTGGGACCATAGGCATCATCCTGCCCCTTCAGGGTGGGAACACTTTCCTTCTACAAATGACTGGATAGGTCCCAGGAGCCATATGCTCACATGACCAGAAGTAGCTCCCTAAGGCAGTGAGTGATTCCCTACTGGCTGAGGTCCTGCCAGCCCATGGGAGACTCAAAGCCAGAAACGGGAGGCACATAACTGATTTCCCACCATTGAGAGCAAGGTGTGCTATTACCCAACAGGCCTGCTAAGAGCTCTGAAAAGCCGCTAACAGAGAACCCACCTTCCTTTCAGAAGCTGAATGCTCTTAATACTGCCTTGCAAGAAAAAGGGGAGTCTGTGGGACTGCAGACACAAGTTTAGAAATGGGGCTTCCTAGAAATAAGTCCGTGATTGCCAAGCGTTTTAACTGGGTCCTCTGAATCGTAGACCTGTGACTAGCCAGACTGACAATTTCTGTACCAAAGAACTTCTCAGAGTTCTTCTGCTAGCTCCCTGTTCCTAGGATGCCAGGGAAGAGGCAGGCAAAGTCTGCAGGGAAAGTGTAGTGATGTGCAGAGGAAAAATGACAAGTGGTCGTGGGACCAGCATATCTGCTTTGCCAGGACTCAGAGGGGGCAGGAGGAGCAACAGAGAGCCCCCTCACCACACCTCACCAACAGTATTCACCTTCAAACTCTGGACCCTGACACTGAGTTTAAAATCGAATTATCTGCAAGATGTTTCTCAAATAGTTTTTTAATCTTATTTTTAACCTGGCATGGCTGGCAGAATTCTAGTTTTTAACTTCTAAATTAAAATTTTCAAATGTTTTTTTTTCTTTTTAAGTTTTAAAGTGAGGCCTGTTTTCATGTTTTCCTTAAAACTGAGAAAAACTTATTTTCCCACTGACACCTAGGAGTTCCTATATTTACACACAAACCTGCACACAGACAACAGAAAAAGAGGTGTCTGGGGACTCCCAGTCACACAGAAGAAACTCAAGCAATTTGGACAGAACAAGAAGAGGAGCAATAAGACAAGTCCTGCCCTTGCAAACTCCCAACTGTAGAGTGCTGACCGCTGACCGCTGACCTCTAACTTCTGACTCACCAGTTGGGCAGACAGCATAGCGAGCACCTTAAGGAAGGTACAGCTGGCTCAACATTTGCCTTCACAATTTCAGGAAAACACGCGAATGTATCTTAGCTTACAATCTTGTGGTTCACTGCTATCTCACAAATGTCAGCTCATTTTCTTTGATCAATTTTTATTTAAAGTGCTTAAACACAAAGGCCTCAGAAATGGCCTAGTAATACTATCATTTAAAGATATCTGTTACAAAATTAGAACTTATTTAAGATCTAACATTCAGCTTTGAAACAAATGGGTGAAATCCAGAGTCAGCGTTGAGCCTCACCCATAATCAGCACACTGACATCTCAGAGCGTCCTGACTCAGTACGTGTGATCCATAGGATTAAAGTAACACCCCTAGATCAGAAGAATGTATCTGATCCAGGCCCTTTTCCTTCGCCAGTATATCAGGCCAAAAATGAGCAGTACATACATACATTCCTCTGAGAAAAAAAATGGCCTCACACTGATAGAGATTACTGTAGTCAAAATGAAATAAATGGCTGAAGTTAACATACAGTACGGAATTTCAAAATATAGTTCAGCAGGAAGGAGAGATGATTTTACCAGGCCACTTTAAAAATCATAACATAAATATTCATTTTTATAAAAGCAAATATGCTCATTTGCAAAGTGAATGGCTGTAAGTGCTTTAGTCATAAATTCCTGAAATGTTTAGTAATATGTGTATGAATTTAAAACAGATTAGAAATTCATATACTCAAATTCATGAACTGGAATGCAATATCCTTTTTTTTTTTTTGTGAAGATGTCTAACCAGCATGTGGCCATCAAACAGAAGAATCAGATCAGTTTTCCTTTCTTCTCTTCACACCATGACTCACAAGTGAAAATCACTCAAGATAAAGACGGATGTGGTCATGAACTGAGATTTTTCTAGTAAGTCTATTTCACCATCAGGTTCACAAAACATGGTTCTAAATACATCTCCTCCCCCAGCAAATAGTGTACAATTGCCTGGGGTGGAGCTACAGATAAACTTCAGCCTTGGAAACTAATACTACACCCACTGTGGACTTTTAACTTACTGGTAAATTTTTACTTTAAATCTTCAACTCATTCTTAGATTAGAATATAAAACTCATCAATATACTTTTTCTTAGTATTTTCCACACTAACTTTTTATATACAAAACACATAGTGATTTGTTTTTTTTTCCCTGAACACAATGTATAGAAATTCCCTGAATAACAAAAAGAAAACCATTTTCTTATATTCACTGGACAGCTAACAAGAATTCTTTTTGAAGCTGGGCGGTTGGTGGCACACGCCTTAATCCCAACACTCGGGAGGCAGAAACAGGCTGATTTCTGAGTTTGAGGCCAGCCTGATCTACAGAGTGAGTTCCAGGACAGCCAGGGCTACACAGAGAAACTCTGTCTCAAAAATATCAAAGGAAAAAAAAAATTCTTTTTGCAGCCGCTCCTCTGCTGCCGCAGCACACGGTCTGTTCATCAGTGCGCTCTCGTCGCTGGAATGCATATGGAAGACATCTGTACAGCAGATAAGGACCTCAGCAGCCAGAGCTGACTGAATATGTAAGGGGAGTATACTGAAACAGAAACATGTCCGAGTGTGTAAAGGTCCAGGGTTAGCCCCACGAGAATTCAGTAGGTACAGTACAGCAGCTAACAACTCACAATTTACAAGTATATAAAATCTCTATAATGTCACATTAGTTAGCTAACAAACTATGAATCCTCCAATTGTAAACTGATAAATTCCTGAATGCATTTTTTATACTGCATTTCAGTATGATTATTAGTAGAATATTGACCTGGCTGTCCATAAAGTCCTTCCGATTCCCGCATTTCTTCATTCATTCTTGCTAAACGTAACCTAAAATTCAAGAAGAAGAAGAAGAAGAGCTCTTAGAGGAAGTAAGACAAGTACTCGCAAACAAATGGATTACATGGGCAGGTAATGCGTGTATTGGTACAATTATAGAATTATTCCCTTACCAGCATTTGTCCAGTAAAACAAACTCAATTTATCAGACAATCTGCATTACAGACATAACTCTCTCACTGCCATTCATGTCATTCTCATGAACAAAGACAGTAAAGGATTTCTTATTAAAGCAGGTGCCTACAACACCTCCAACAGCTTCCTCCAGCTTCAGAGAATACCTAGCTCCTACAGCAACTGGATGAAATCACTGCTTCTGCAGTACAGAAGCAATAGCCTGTCATAGTTCATTAGCTTACCCTGAGTGACATAGTTCCCAACACATAAGCAACATGTTCCTTCTAAATAAAGGAAATACATTTTGGTATACAAGTGTTGTGGTAAATGACTAAGGGGTACCAAAATTCTCCCAAGGTTACCATGCTGGTCATACAGTCTTTGGGGGTTACTTATCCTGGCAATGGAAGACGGGTAACATTGGATTAGAAAACAAGTATTTCTTCTTTTTCTGAAAACAAAATCCAAGCAAGACTGAAAGTTCTCTCTGTGGTGCCTGCTGTCCTTCTAGGCCACCACACCATCTGCAGCCTTCCCAGAGTTCTCACACTCTCTTCTGAGAGCTCCACCAGGCAGTGGCTCCTAAGCATCCCCTTGCTATGTGGATTCTCCAAAAGGGCACTTTCCTACTTGGCTCCAGTTGACAACTTGATATTGAGTCATCTGGGGATTGTCTGGATCAGACTGGCCTATGGGCATCTTTGTAGGGCATTTTCTTGATTGCTAACTGATGTACTTCACAGTAATAGTAACTCCTTCCTCCATGGCCTGTGTCTTATTAGGTAGAGGCTGAGAGAGGTGGAACCTGGCAAGCCAAAAATTCTCACTGGAGCTCAGGGGCTCAAAGCAGCCACTGGGTTTCTCTGAACTGAGAGCATCATGAACAGGCAGGTTTCTACTCAAGAGGAGAGGGATGACCAAGTGTCAGCTTCCATTAGCCCAGAATGGAATAATCACATGGCTTAAAGCCTGCTTCCATTAGCTTCATGAAATGAAGTAGAGTTGACAATATCATATTTCTGTGTACTAAGTGTACCACACTACTTTGATCTAACATGCAAACCAACTGAAAACCACAAGATTCAATATTAGTAGATCACAGTAAACATATCTCAAACATTCAAAAACATTTTGTGTTAAAAATAATCAAGTGTCCATATGAACATTTGCTTAAAAGATTGCTGTCCCTCCAGCTTAATGATAAGCCTCTAATCCTCAAAGAGGTAGACTAAAACTAGCCAGTGCTCCACCCATCCCAGCCCAAGGCTTGAACTGTAGCCAAGGGGAAGAGCATTTGGGGTGGGTAGCCATGGCTTCTGATTCTACTGCTGCGGCAGAAGTGGCCAAGAGTCCAGGCATTAGAGTAGAAATTCTTGGTGTGAAGTCCTAGCTCTAACATTTATTAACTTATCAAATTATCTGAGGCTTAGCTTCCTTACCTATACAATGGTAATAATAAAGAAGAGTGTCCTCGTAGAGTTACTGTGAGGAACAAAGGAACCCATGCATTTAAAAGTGCTTACCTCGTCCAGTGTCTCTAAAGGAATGGCACAGACAAAACACTGAGTTTAAATCTCCCACAGTGCTGGGCATGATGGCGTCTGCCTTTAATCCCAGCACTTGGGAGGTAGAGGGAGTAAGATCTCTGTGAGTTCAAGGCCAGGCTGGTCTACATAGAGAGCTCCATGACAGCCAGAACTATCTGTGCAAACAACATGCAGCACAGGAAATAAGTACAAAGGAGACACTTACAAGGTCACTATGTCAGCATTGGCTGCTTCCACCGCTATACTCAAAGGGTCCTTGCCCTCTTCATCAGTGGCATGTTGATTGGCACCTCGCTTTAGGAACAAACATACCTGCCTGTTTAAGGGAACAGCATTTCTCAGTCAGTGCCAAGATTGAAAGAAAAAAACAAAAAAACAAAAACCATATTCACTTTCAAAAATAAAAAGTTCTGTCTAATTTAAATAGCATTTTATTAGAAAATTCTTAATGCATCCTACAAATTCAACAAGTAGACTTCAATAACAGAAGCTTACTGAGATCTTTACAAGTCCCAAATAATTTTCATTATCTTAGATAATCCGGTACTTTATAACAAAGTGGGACCTATAATCATTGCCTCTATCCTCAACAAATATCATTAAAAGCTATACACAGATACTGACAACAGAAAATAATACTATGGAAGCTAAGACAATGCAAACACCATACTAAATGTGATACAATAGAAGAAAGTAGGCAGTAATTCTCCCGTTATACTACACAAATATTCTTAACTTGAAGATATTCACAATTTAAAAAATATACGAAAGAATGAGTAAGTGGAGTCTGTGGAATAAATGAGAAAAATTATTAAAATTTAGGCAAATAAAAAAGATGAAGCAAATACTACCATGTTTTAACATATGAAAGCTTTCATGATTAAGTTACTAAACTGAATATCTGCTGATAAAGGAAAACAAGTGAGAATGAAATAAAGGATGCCATTAAAAATGTTTAAAATCAGCTTCTTGCTTATCCAGAAATAACTGGAAACTCTGAGATAAAATGACTCCCAACTGTTTGAATAAAGCCAACAGTTTACTTCATTAGCATTCTCTAATAGGAAGTTCACTTTCATGGCATTACTGTGCCAAGGACATTACTTAGAGCCTCAACATCAATTACCGAAACTAAGAACTTTGGTATGGCTGGACTAAGTACCTTAAGGAAAGCCTAGAAATTCCAAAATTATAAGTTCTCTCAAAATAGTGTGTGCAGATAATGTATGTATACACTAGTATAAAAAACATGAACTTCAGCTGGGAAACAAACAAACAAAATATCACAACTTCAGTGATAGAGGAAGCCAGGTAGTAAACTGGTCAATTTACTGATACACCAAGATAAAAGTGAGCATTATAGTTTGTATCTGTACACTAGTTATACTGGCTAGTTTATATTTGTACACTAGTTATAATGGTTAGTTTATATCTGTAACTAGTTATGCTGTTACTTTATATCTATACTCTAGTTATACTGGTTAGTTTGTATCTGTACACTAGTTACACCGGTTAGTTTATATCTGTACACCAGTTATACTGATTAGTTTATATCTGTACACCATTTACGCTGGTTAGTTTATATCTGTACACCAGTTATGCTGGTTAGTTTATATCTGTACACTAGCTATGCTGGTTAGTTTATATCTGTACACTAGTTATACTGGTTAGTTTTTATGGTCAACAACACAAACTAGAGTCTCCTGGAAAGAGGGAACCTTGGTTGAAAAGTTGTCGCCCCCCCCATTCAGGGGCAGTCTGTGGGGACCTGCCTTGATTGTTTATTGATGTAGAAGGACCCAGCCCACTGTGGATAATGCTATCCTAGGCAGGTAGGCCTGGACTACATAAGAAAGCAAGCTGAGGGCTGAAGATATAGCTTATCTATTAAAAAGACACACTGTTCTTGCACAGGACCTGAGTTTGATTCCCTGCACCCACATAGGGCAGCTTACATCTACCTGTAACTCCAGCTCCAAGGGGACTTTGACCTCCTCAGACACTGCACTCATGCATATGCCCACACACATAATTTTTGATTGTGAGCCTAGCTTTTAACGGCTGAGCCATCTCCCCAGCCCCACACACATCATTTTAAAAATAAAAATCTTTAAAATAAAATAATAATAACAATACTAAGAGCAAGCTGAGCAAGCCAGTAAGCAGCGTTCCTCTGAGGTCTCTGCTTCAGCTCCTGCCTCCAGATTCAAGTTCCTTCCCTGATTTCACTCAGTGATGAACTGTGACACAAAGTGTAAGCCACATAAACCTTTTCCTCGATGTTTATACCAACAACAGAAAACAAGCTACAACACTGATCATGGATTCTCTTCTGAATGAGAAACTTTAACTTTTGTCCTCTCTTACAAATTCTACATAATATCCTTAACCTGGGGAAGAAAAAAAAAAACACTATTTCAAAGAAGTTCTTCAGATAAAAGCTACCTACCTACTTAAGCATGATTACTTACCCTGTGTGTCCTAAGACAGTGGCGTGGTGAAGTGGTCCCCGCCCTTGGACATCTCTTTGGTTCACATTAGCACCATTCTGTAAGAGGAACTCGCATGTCACCAAAGAGCCCTTAAAGAGAAGATGGCAATGTATAAATGCAAAGGAAAAAGAGCACATCTATATGTAAGTAGCAGAGAAATAAGTTATATGTTTTTTCCAAGAACTAATTAACACATTATTTTACAGTCTGAAGTCCATCAAAACACATTACTCCTGCTGCACCTCCTAAAAATCTGAAACCACTACTTGACACTCAGAAATCACTAGTAAGAGAACTTTTTACTTTCTAACCCCTCTTAGGATAGTGACAATAATATTGCTTTGTTTAGAATTTATGATATTTGGTATTTTCCACATCAATGAAAACCTCAATACATTAATTCACACCCCGATACAGACTAAATGCATTAATTCACACCCCCAGTACAGCCTGAATGTATTAATTCATACCCCTGATACAGCCTGAATGTATTAATTCACACCCCTGGTACAGCCTGAATGCATTAATTCACAACCCTGGTACAGCTTGAATGCATTAATTCATACCCCTGATACAGCCTGAATGTATTAATTCACACCCCCAGTACAGCCTGAATGCATTAATTACACCCCCAGTACAGCCTGAATGCATTAATTCACACCCCTGGTACAGCATGAATGTATTAATTCACACCCCTGGTATAGCCTGAATGCATTAATTCATACCCCTGGTACAGCCTGAATGCATTAATTCATACCCCTGATACAGCTGGAATGCATTAATTCGTACCCCTAGTACAGCCTGGATGAGTGCTGTTGCTTGGTTCTCGTCCGAATTAGCCCAGTTCACATCTGCACCATGAGCCAAAGCCTCAGCCATTTTGGGAAGGTTTTTTTCGTATGAAGCCCTATAAAGCTGAAGTCCTGGATTAAGAAGTTTAGAGTCAAGAAACACAGAAGACTCTTGCCTTTCTCCTTCTGGAAAGCAAAGCACAAATACATTAATAAGAATGTGCTCTTAGCACAGGAGGCAAATTCTTTAGCAAGAAAGAAAGAATTTGCAAGAAGAAAGAATTCCATTGGGCGAATGACAGTAACAGCAAAGTGAAGATGAATTTAAGGCTAATAAGCTGTAAACTTAAAAATGGTTAGGATAGGTAACTTCAGGACTGACAAGTGGCTAGGATACCTTTACAGAATGTATATTTTACCTCAATTGTGAAAGTGAACTCTTAAACTCACAATGTAAACATTGTGATATAAGAAATCATCCATCTATCCCAATGAGCATACAAGAGATTTTCACACAGATATTATTATTTCTTACAAACTATTCATTCTCCAAACATTCACCATTTTCATGGAATGACATCAACTAATATTTCAGGCTTTTGTAGCCTTGCCAGTATCAGGGGATGTTTGTTACTGTTAAAATTGGCTATCTTCCAAAAAGCCTGAACTCCTAAAGAATTTACTAGTAGTTTGAACTCATTTAGTTCCCAGGACAATGTAATATCATCACAATTTATACTCTAATTCAAATGCCTTAAAGTATGCTTATTCCCCCAGAGAATTCTGCAAAACTAAACACACTAAAACCATGAAAGGAATCAAAAGGCTTTAGTGATGAGAAGAAAAACCCAAAGGGAAGGGAGATGTTGGTAAAAACAGCCACAGGAGAAGACAGTGGCTAAGCAGACAGGATTAGTACAGATTAAAATTCCTAGCATACACCATGAGGTTTGGATGACTATCTAACTAGGGCAAAGATTCCAAAAATAAAGAGAAACAATAGCTTTCTCCTTAGTACCTTCTAAAAAGATTAACCACCCACTTGAGAAATGATCTAATCAAGAATTCACATTTAGATCAGTGGAGAGACGGTCACTGGGTGAAATGTTTGCCAAATAAGCAAAAGGACCTGAGTCCAGGTTCCCAGAACCAAGGTAAAAGGCCAGTACAGAGACTGGGACCTGCAACACCAGTGCTTGGGGGCCAAAGACAGACAGATCCCTTGAGCTTGCTGCCAAATCACTCAACTCCAGGTTCAACGAGAGACCCTGTCCCAAAAACAAAAGTGGAAAACCAGATGAAATTAGAAAATATATTAAGTAAGATAACCCAGACTTGGAAGGGCAAATACCCCATGCTCTCTGTTATATGGAAATCTTAGTTCCTAATTGTTCATATGGAAATATCTATATGAGAGAGAAAAGGCAGATGCCAGAAAATCCAAGAGTGGTCTGGGACAAAGGGAAAAACCTCTCAGCAGAAAATTGCCCTGTAATAAAATCAAGGTAAATGTTATATGTATTCTATTTAAAATCTAAAGTCACACTTGGTCAGATTTGAAACTGAACATCTATGAGAAATTTTATTATATTAAATATTTTTATTTGGGCGGTATATTGGTGTGAGTGTGGAAGTCATCAGATAACTTTTGGGAGTCAGCTCTCTCCTTCCACCAAGTGGGTCTCTGGCTTGAACTCAGGTCGAAAGGACTGGCAGCAGGTGCCTTTGCCTGCTGCACCAACTCACCAGTACATTTTTATGGATTTGAGAAATTTGTAATCCCTGCTGTGAAATTTAATTGCAGATACATTGTCTCTTATAATCAGTAATGCTGCAGAAAATGTGGATTCCAGGGTTTGACATTTCTACACACTTAACTACTTCCATTAAGTTTTGCTCTTGTTTTTTATAAGATATATTTTATTAATTATCTATATACTATTCTGCCTGCAAGTATGCCTGCAAGCCAGAAGAGGGCATCAGATCTCAATTATAGATGGTTGTGAGCCACCATGTGGTTGCTGGGAATTGAACTCAGTACCTCTCAAAGAGCTGTCAGTGCCCTTAACCTCTAAGCCATCTCTCCAGCCCTGAGTTTCATTCTTATGTTGCTCCTAATGTCATTAATACTTAAAAAAAATATCATTAAGTGAACTTAAATTTTCTTGTAAAAGTTTTGGAAAACACAATAAAAATACAGAAGAAATGAGCAATTGATAAGAACAATGGCATAATTATTTTTGGAATAAGTATACTGAACAAACACACACACACAAAAAAAAAAAAAAACGAAAAGATTGCATACTGCATGATCCATTTCTTTAAACTAGAAAAATACCACTTTCTGCTGTCATGCAAGGAAGCAGAATGGTGTTTAGCTACTAAGATTATAATGGGACAGGAGAGACCTGTTACAGAGGCAAAGAAATGTAAACATCAATGTTCCACAGCCACACAACAGCTGCAGATGCATCACATTCTAAGACACCAATTATCTTCAGGTCCTGGAAGATGGAGAGCAACTAGGGAAGACACCAGACATCAAATGTGGCTCTCGTGTGAACACAGACATGCAAACACACCCACAAGAGAACTGACATTTGCTACAAGCATCATCTAACAAACTATGCCAATCAACACTGACTTTCATCAAACTCACCAGGCTCATATAAGCTATTGGCTGACACGGTGGAAGGTAAAGATTCTCGCCCATCATCAGAGCCTTGCTGGATCCCACTGTCATTACTTTTAACTGTGTTAAGGGGGGAAAAAATAGCTAGTGATTAAAGTTCACATCACTTAGAAGGCAGTCTCCCACAACCAACAAGACCATAAAATGAGCTGGTACATGGAAACATGAACTTGGCCACTATCAGCATAATAAACTTACTACAATTTTAATCCTTCTGTAACTTAACTTATTGGAACATAAATCAATCACAAAGCCTGAAAATAAACTTATTTTCAGAGTTCTAACACATCTCATGACCCCACAAATGCTGGGAGTAGCAAAGAGCTTAATTTACTGACTGCATGGGCTGTGGTGATGTGGAATCCGGAGACAATGGGCAACATCTAGAGAAATGGCCACACCGCACAATGACCACTGGCACAGACTTGGAACGCTCCACAATTGTACTTACTACTACGCAGTTTTGAAGAAGTATCAAAGTAGGAGAAGAGTGAGTCTAGCTCATCAGGACAGAACAGAGACTCCCGCCTGGCCTCGTCGCTATTTACAGCAGCCACTGGGGACATGCAAGTTAGCAAAGCACAAAGCAGGCCGTAAGAAGGGGAGGCAGGAAAAACCGTTACTGGGGATGTGTAGGGAGAACATGGGAAGGAAACCAGGAAGTTAATCAGATTCTTGGGGCTTTCAGCATAACCCACTGACAATCCCATCTCCCCTCGCTGTTAAGCAGTTGTACTTGGCAGAGTATAGACTGTAAGTAGGGATGTGAACCAAGAGACTATCTCACTTTAACTGTCTTAAAGACATAGAAATCCAGTTTTCCTTTAGAGTGTGTAGAAGGAAACAGTCTTCTAGCATTTAAAAAAACAAACAAAAAACAACAACAAAAAACCAAAATCCTACAATGGCCATAATTGTGAGATTTAAAAAGTGGCTTCAGCTCAAGAAAATATCTGAGGTAAATACCTGTGGTGTGGACAGACACCCTGACTTGGCTCAGCCTCCGTTCCTCGCAGCTTTTGGAGCTAACCCTTTTCTCCTGCTCAGAAGGCGATGATAACACCGAGTACTTATCCACAAACTTCCTCTCCACATACTTTGCTCTGATATATGCCTCTTTCTCCTGTCTGGTAAACAGAGAAACACCATGATGTTCTATTTGGCCCCATAGCATGGCTAACCCTGAATGAATGCCGAGAGATACTGAACTTAATGGTAGCTGAAAGTAAAACGGGCTGTGGCTGGGAACACTAGAGAAAGGGCTGGCAGTTAAGAGTGCTTGCTGCTCCAGAGGACCTGAGTTTGACTCTCACTCACAAACCACCTGTAAATACAGCTCCTTGGAATCTGACACCCTTTTCTAAAATGTTTTTAAGTGAATTAGTAACAGTTAACATATGACATCATGTGACATGTTTCCTTGTGAATAAGAAGCTAATTTCACAGCCAAATGAAATACGAATGACCCACTGAAAACTCAGAGTTCCACAGCACTCCACTGAGTCTCTTAATTTCTGTCTGTATTTGTATACAGACTCCCTTGTGTTTTACATTAGAAACATTGCCAGGAAAGCTAAAAAAAAAAAAAAATGGAGAAATTAACATTAATTCCATTTTTACTAGAGATACTGTCATATCCTGAATAATCACTACTGGTAGTCATAATTTTTCATTTAATAATTATAATAAAACAATACAGCATTCCAGATTTATAGCGGGAAAATGTCATTTCTCTCCTTAGCTTATGATATAACCATGACATATGCCTGTTCTATAACTTTTCTTCTTTAATTTAAAAAGGCTTAGGTCTTTGGCTAAAATAGGAGCACCCAAGGTCCAATAACTCTCATATGGCAAATATGAAAAGTGATTTAAATTACATTGGCTTAGCTCAAATCTCAACATAGGATTATGGAAAATGCAATTGTAATGCTAAAAATATAGAATCCTACTGATAAAACCTGGTGTCAACAATAAAGACTATGTGCTCCAAAAGCCCTGATTCGAGCAGCTTCCCTGAGCAGACTTCCTTGTGCAGAGCTAGAAGTCTGATTTCACAGCCAAACTGCCTTTCTCATCTTTCATTCCACAGCCTCACAATGCCACCCAAGTGTGTGATCAACATTTGCTGAACTAAGTCAGATCATGCAAAATGATTCAGATAGTAGAAACTTGATCTTTGAGACATTAGCAAAAACATTACTCGTGTGTGTGTGTGTGTGTGTGTGTGTGTGTGTGTGTGATTGCACTTGTGCATGTGCACACATGCACACAATCTGTACATGTTTGTGTATGTACATGTGTGTGTGTGCTAGTGTGCACAGACTGGAACGTAGAGCCCAGAGGTGTCTTCTTCAGTTACTCTCTACTTTATTTTTTGAGACAGTCTTTTACTGAATCTGGAATTTACAAGTTCATTGAGATTAGCTGGCCAGCAAGTCCAAGGGACACCCCTCCCCCCCCTCTACCCTGTCTCTGCCTCCCCAGCACTGAGATTCCAAGCAAGCACTGCCATGCCCTGCTTTGAACACAGATGTTAAGAAACCAAACTAATGCTTGAGATTTAGCCATGCTTCCTTTTAAATGCCCACCACTAACAGAACTTTGGACCACTTTTATGGCAAAAGACCTTTACATTTCTACGTAGAGTTTTGTTTTGTTTTTTTACAATTTCTTGTTATCTAAAGACTACAAATGGTTGACTGCCCAGTGAGGTGTATAGGTCTAATGAGCATACCTACAATAAGATATATAGATCTAATATACTGAAGACAGACACGGTCACATTTAAACAGAAGTAATATTGATGACTTCCAAACACTCCATCACAATGTTTTATGTCCATTGTGATAGAACAGAGTCATACTGTATTTCTGATTAGGGAAGAGAGTATCACATTAAGACAACAGTACCTTTGTCCAGGCTGTGGTTTCTTTATTCCCATTTTTTCTAGTTTAGCTTCATAAACACGATTTATAACATCATTCCCCAATTCACACATAAGCTATTTGGCAGGAAAACAAAAAAAGCAAGCTATAAATTAAAAGTCCTAAAATTAAGCTGAACTTTAAAAGTCCTTACAGTGGGTACAATTAACTAATTCCTCTGTATATATTATAAACTGTTCATTTCACAAAGAAACTTTAAAGTTAAAAATGGGCCAAAGAATAAAATTATTACCCACCTGCTATTCTTCATCAGAACATTATCACTCCTATAACAGGTACCTAACAGAAATCATCTATCCATCCATCCACCCATCCATCCATCTAGCCATTGATCCATACATACATACATTCATCTATACATCTATACATACATGCATGCCAGCATGCATACATACATACATATATAGCTATATTGAAAACTGGACTGGACAGATGGCTCAGTGGTTCAGGGACTTGCACTGCTCTTGCAGTGGACCCAAGCTCAGGACTCAGAGCTCACACTGGCTGCAGGGACCTTAGACTTCTGCCCTCTGCCAGGCACTTGCACTTAGTGCACACATCCATACACAGGCTCAGACACATACGCGTAATTAAAAATAATAACAATAAACTTCTATATAAAAGTCCTATTCATTACATGTCTATCTATATATCACAACTACTGACTGTGCTTAGGCCCACGGTTGGGCAAGAGGTTAGACAATAAAGCACCAATGAAGTTAGGTATAGCAGCAAGCACTGGCCAATTAAAAAGGACAGAACATTAAAATTAGACCTCTTTAAAAAATGACCCTCACTCCCACTTTATAGAAATAGTATAATCCATCAAACACAGCACTCACTGCAATCACTTAAGGACTCACCCTGTGCCTGAGTTCTGTCTACCACCAGACACCTACTAATGCCTCATTCAATGCTGTCAAACTTTTTAGACTTTACTTCTGGTCCATCTTCTTCTCTACTTCAGTCTTCAACTTCCCCACTGCGCTATGATAGTTCATCTCAGCTAGAGGAGATCTACAGTCCCTGTGAAATATTTCATGTAAATGTTTATCTTACCTTTAAAAGCTCAGGTTCCCAAGTGTCTAAGGTTAAAGAACGTACTTTCGAAAAATGAACCCCAAGACTCCTACATGGGGAAAAAAGATGGCATTATTTTTAATAAAAGTTATCAAGTCACTATTTACATATCTATACACACACACACACACACACACAGAGAGAGAGAGAGAGAGAGAGAGAGAGAGAGAGAGAGAGGTTCCCACATGTAAACATATACGGGTCCTCTGGTTAATGATGAACCAAAGTCCTCAAAACACTTTAAAATTAAAATTATCCACTCTATAAAATGTGCAAATATAAACTACTAGTTAAATCGGGAAACTGGGAAAGATCCACTAACAAGAAAACACAATAATTTACAACATGTATTTACCCCAAAGGAACTCTCTCACTCTGGGTGAGCATACCTACCGATGAATCCCAGAGCACTCAATACACAAGGTAATGCCCAGGTTGATGCTGGCCCACCGAGGGTCTGCCAGACCACAGTCACAGCAGCTGCTGTTGCCAGGGATACACTGGACACGCTGCAGTGCACTTTCTCCTTTCAATAACTTCTCTTTTGACTCATTCCCAGAATCTAGGCTTCCTGTTGATGGAGACGATTTCTTATCCAGCTTCTAAAAGAAACAAGAATTGTTTGGTAATTTTAATGCTTTTTGTAAAGAACTGTAAGAACATGCTGCATGCTATATACCACAAGCAAATGCTTCTAGCCCATAAATTAAACATCTGTTTGGATAGGCACTATTCTAGGCACTGGAGACTGAAAATGGAAAGACTGGGGTTCTTATGAATAGGCTTCATCAATGCAGGACAAACGTATACATTTACAATTACATGATTACTGACACTGAACATATGAACAAGAGATGAGGACAAAGAGAAAGGCAAAGACAGAGTGGGAGACATAATATTATTAAGACTCAATAATAAGACAAAATCCAACATTTGGAGGCTGAGGCAAGAGTGTCACAAGCTCAGAGACAGCCTGGGCTGCACAGGAAGGCCCTCTTGAAAGGAGAAAGAAAACAAAAAGAATAAAGTATTTTATGCCACATTCCCCAAAGGAGTTAATTTAATTACTACAGTTAATAACTAGAAAGACTATACTATTGCCACAGTGAAATGCTAGGAAATATACCATCTTTACAGTGAACCAAAACCAAAAAACAATATGCAAAAAGCTATTTTTTTTAAGTACACAATCACACTAATAATAGAGTATTTAATAAGCATTGGGCTGCACAAAGCAATAATCAACCAAATTCAAAGATGTGGCTCTTGATTTTAAGCAATTAAAGATATAGTGTAAAGTCTTCCATGATTAAAAACATTCCACTCTGTACAAGCCAGTGTGGAGCCCAGAAGCACTGGAAACAGAATCCAATTCTTGTTTGTCTTTACTGAAAACACAGAATTAGGAAGGGCTCAGCAGACAAGGTAAGCACAGGGACTTGAAATTCCCAGTGTCTTGGGAAAATAGGGCCAGTATCCACTTAAACAGCGCAGCCTTATGCAGGCTTCCAGGTCCTACAAAGAGGCAGAGGATGCCTGCATGTGACAGACATGAGACAATTTGAGACACACACAAAAAAATAATGGAAGTAATGGATTATAACACAATGAATAAAATAAAAGCACACAGAAACAGTTAAAATTTTGTCATAAAGTAAAATTCAACTGGGAGGAACAGAATATTTACACAATTTTAAAGTACTTCCCCACAAAATACTTACTACCCAAAGGTTATAAGAGTACCTTACATTGGGAAAATGGAGCAGGTAAAACCATGTGGCACCTGAAAGGACAGCCTGAGAACACAGTATACATACAAGGTTCTTGCCAAACATGTCAGACCCAGCTGAATAGCTTAGTCTGTAATTTTCAAAACATCTAAGGTCAAAGGTCAGGTTAACCCTGAGGAACTAACTTCTCTGAGGGCAACATGACAACTTTTATCATTTTGTTTTTTACACATGAATGCATTTGGGGATTAAATGGTAGTCATATATCAAGCTCATATTCCACTTTGATGTCTGTACCATGATTATGCAAGCGATCTCTTCTTAGGCTAAGGGAGAGGGCTGAGGATGAGGTGGCCCGCTAGTAACTTACTCAAGGAGAAGAACATATTCATACTGAAATTCTATGGACATTGGAGATTTCACAATTTTTAAAAATAGATCTGGCTTATCAGAATGTATCCGAAATGTAAAGTTAACAAAGGTATCAATATTAAAGGCAGAAATCATGTTGGTTCATTCCCAATTTTCCTTGAAATGCTCATGTTTTTGCTCCGAATAGGGATGTTGAGCGCTAATGAAGGCATGATTGGTCAGGAACAGTTATATCCCAAGGCTCTCTCCCCAACCCCAGGCCAGAAAGGGAATACTCTGCACGTAAATGAAAATGAACTGACATTTTCTCTCTGGAGGAGTAAATCAGAGTCTCTAGACGGGGTTCAGCTAAGAGATCAAAGGCAGGAGACCAAGTGAAGGTGCACACAGTGAGCGCAGAGACACCCAGCTGATTCCTTATGCCTGTGGGCGACATCAGTGAATTTTCTCTAGGAAAAAGATCCTGGATATATGGCTATTACTCAACATAGTCCAAACTTACGAGAAAATCTTAACTAGGTGTTTAGTGTATAGTCTTAACTTAAAATCACTGATACATTACAAGACAGCATCTAAAGCAGTATTTAAGTTAGCTGTCTACAGGATTAACTAACGGGATTTTTTTTTTTTTTTTAATTTGACTCAGGATACTTCCATAAGAGTTATTGGTCAGGAAGGCCCAGAGGCACCCCAAATATCACAGGCTGTGGCCACTGCTCTTGTTTGCCCACAGTAACTAGATGGTAAGACCCTATTGCTGAAGACACCACTCACTTTGGATGCGGGGCACAGAGAGATCAACCTCAAACTGACCAGGAAACTCTCTCCTTGCTGGCTGCCTTACACAGTGCCAGAAGCTGCTGGGGAGAGAAGAGACATCAATAGTCTTACCCAGCACTGGAACCTGCATACTAAGAACACCGACTCATCAGAAAGATGCTCCCACTGGTACAATAATGGCATAATGGTTACAGGTCAACCAACTGCTTTCTATGTGCATCTAAAGTCTGCTTCAAAAAGGGATTTCATGCCTGGTACTGTACACCTGGTCAAAAGCCTATGACTGTGGAGATCACAGGCCATAGGGGGAACCTACCCTTACTGTTCCGCTACACGGTCATACTGTCAAACTATATTCTAAATGTTTATCCACTACTGATGTTTTGGTGCTACTCTCAATTCAGTAGATAAGTTTCTTTTTGCAGTGAGTAGTGGTTAACGCAGGGACTCACTACTGCTCAAAGTGCTGAAGATAAGGAACTCTGAGTGTTCAACTGTGGATGGCTCATCTGTTTCAACCACCCACTATCCAAGGCTCAGGGAAGAAGAGAGGGACCATCTAAGAGCTGGCAGACAGGAGGGAGAGCCGTGAAGTGATAGTGTTTGGACAAGGCATGGTTGCTGACTGCATCAACTCATGGCAACTGTAGTTACCACCAGAAGACCTGTACAAGATCAAGCCAATCAAAATTCTCACATGGATGATGGATGAGACCATGAGGCCCCAAGCCTACCAGGAGAGACTGGCAGTTGATGGCTGCAGAGGGAAGGAAAATCATTCTGTGGGGATGTGCCTCAGGAGTTAGCCGCACACCCATGTATATACGGGCAGCACTAATTAGCTCAGAGGATTGTTAACAACAAAGATAAAAAGAGGAAAGAAAGATAGGTGGTGGTCTGCATGGAGGGCTAGAGAGAAGCAGCAGTGGGTGGATATGATCAATATACACTGAAACAAATTTCTAAAGAATAATAAAGATTATAAAAAATAAAAATATTGATGCCTGGTTTTCACACAATTTGTTTGGGGACGTGACTTAGACAACGACAATTTTTTTTTGCAAGAAGTGAAAGTTAATAATAATAGTTCTAATATCACATTGTGACAAAATAACAGATTCAATAAACATTCAGTGAACAAAAATGAATTATTGAAAACTAGACAGATGTTAGCTGTTCAGCAATATTCAAAAAAAGAAAAGAACATTAATTCAGAAGTTCCAGAAAGAGAGAATTGCAGAGAAGAAATAGGAAAGGTCAGCAACTAAAAAACAAAAAACAAAACAAAACAAAACAAAAAAAAGCAACCCTAAAACTAAAACACAAGAGCAGAAGAAACAACTTAATGCTGTTTCTTTTCTCCCGACCCACCCTCGAGGCCAGGTTTCTCTGTGCAGCTCTGGCTGTCCTGAAACTCACTCTGTGGACCAGGCTGGCCTCAAATGCACAGAGATCCGCCTACCTCTGCCTCCCCAGTGCTGGGATTAGAGGGGTGTGACACCACCACCCCGTCATAATGTTGTTTCTTAAGGATAACTGTTTCCAACCTACAACTTCTATACCTAGCCAAACTATCAAACAAATGTAACAACAGAACAAAACCACTGTTATCTGCGTTGGTGATATAGAGGTGAGCATAGCTGCCTTTCAGAATAAGCCACTGTTTAGGAGAACATAGACTCTCAAATGCCCCACTTTCCGGAAAATACTGAAGGAAGTCCTCAAGCTCTTAATTCAATAAGGAGAAATATACGGGTCAATAGAAAGAAAGGAACATTAAAATATGACCGTGTTAAGACAATTCCAGGTTAATAACTATACTACACTGAACGTGTAAGGGTAACTGGCCCAGAAGGGAGAGGAGATTCAGGTAACATACAATATTCAGGGCTCTCTTCAGCAACATGCCCTTTGCCAATATTTTCATCATCTGTATTCAACAACGTCCAGGTAAATGATAGACTGAAGAAATCCCTTCTCTGAGGCTAACTGCCTAGAATAAGGAGTTCCCCCAGTGCTTGCTTAGGAAGCTTCTAATCTCATCTGCTCCTGGAAGTCCCAAGTTGCCCATGACAACCTCTGAAATATAACTTAGAAAACATTCCTACTGGCAATCTATCACTGAGTCTATGCCTCAGCCCACATCTAAAGACCCAAGAACAGTTTCATTTTTCTCAAGGCTTCAATCATGGTCTGGCCAAAGAATCTGCTGATTCTTTGGGAAGCTTTCAACTAAGAGGCAACATGGCTTTCCTTCTTTGCATTTTACTTCGTGTTAGTTTCAAACTACATAAAATTGTAAACTCACAAAATTTCATTATTAATGAAAAATATCAAAATATTTAGGAGAAACCCATTAATATGGGTTCACTTCATTTCAATCTAGGATATATACTCAAATATTAAAATAAAGACATGTTTGGATGCTGAAAGAAAAGAATAGGAAAGGGCTGGAGATACAGCTCAGTTAGAAGAGTGCTTGCATAGCATGCACAGGACCCCGAGCTTGGTCCCAAGTGCGGTATGAAATCAGGTGTGGTGGTGAACGCCTGTAACCCCAGCTCTCAGGAAGGAGAAGCAGGAGGATCGCAAATTCAAGGTCCCTGTCAGCTACTCAGTGAGTCTTAAGCAAGCCTGGGCTACATGATCCGACAAGAACGGAGGAATAAGAGAGAGGCTATAAAAAGGGGGGAAAGGTGGGTAGGGAAAGCAGGGGAAAGAAGTAAGGAAGGGAGCGAGGAAGAACATACAAAAAAAGTAAACAAAAAGGACTTAAATCTAAAATCTTAAAACATTTCAATTATATAAAATAATGTTCCATAAAAAGGATGCCATAGCCACATGCTACAAGTAAAATTTAATTCATTTAGCAGCATATCCCAGGATACTGACAACACCTCTACTAACCTCTGATTCATCGCCCTTCTCTCTGTAAGCAGTGGCAATGCTGGTCTGCACAGCCTTAATCCAGGCCTGGCGAAGCTTTTCAGAATCTGCCTGTAGCATACAACTTCTACAAGGAAGTAGCATCATTTTGTCAAACAATAAATCAGAAGGGGGGAAAAAATCCATACATTTTAGTTTTTCTCACTATGCTATTCAGTACATTTTTAAAAATTGTATGTGTATTAGTGTTTTGCCGAATATTAAGTCTGTACACTGTGTGTGTGTGTGCGTGTGTGTGTGTGTGTGTGTGTGTGTGTGTGTGTGTGTGTGTGTGTGTGTTCCCCAAAGGCCAGAAGAAGGCATGAGACCAGTTGTGAGCCATCGATGTGTGCTCTGGAAAGTGAACCCTGGTCCTTTGGAAGAGCAGCTGGTGCTCTTAACTAATGAGCCATGTCTCTAGCTGCCCAGTAATACTCTTTAGTAAAGAAAAATTTTAGTTGAAAGAAGTTGTCAACATTCATCCATCTGTAGGGCAAAGTATGATTTCGACAAAATCAAGGTACAAATGAAACAAAATTATCACTTAAAGACAAAGGACCTATCCCAATGTTAATGAGCCAAATACAGTGGTACACACCTGTAATCCCACTTCTCGAGGCTGGGAATGTTGAGTCCCAGGCCTGCCTGAGTTACTGCAGAGCAATACGAGGTCAGATCAGACTACATAAGGAAATCCTCTCAGAAGGGGAAAAGTGTGTGTGTGTGTGTGTGTGTGTGTGTGTGTGTGTGTGTATACATGCATGTGTGTGTGTGTGTGTGTGTTCTCTCATATTCCTTCTCCCTCCATCCCTTCCTCCTTTTCTCCCCACCATGTAAGCAGAACATTACAAATTTCATCTGTCACACACTTTCAATTCAACATAATATCTAAAAAATTTTCACATGGACTAGGTTTGGTGCCAGAGACTTGTAATCCCAGCTACTCAAGAGGTTGAGACAGGAGAATGCCAAGTTCAAGGCCCAGAGTTCAATTCTCACTATCACCAAGATACAAACAAAAAAGGCCACCAGGTTTTCACATAAATGTTTACATAAGGGACACATAAATAAGTTTCCAGGAAGGACAGAGCTCAGTAGTAGGTGCTTTCCTAACATGCTCATGGCCCCACTAAGTAAATAAATAGCAATTTCTACAGATTTTAAAGAATACGACACATGGAGAGAAGTTACATAAATACTTGGATATAGCATTTATAGTTGCTACTGGAATTAATTTTAAACCATTAATTCTTCTGCTACACTGATAAATTGTAAGTCAGAGCTCTCAAGTCTGGAAAGATGTTTGGGACAAACTATGGAAACATGAAAACAACTCTCAAATTCTCCCAAACGTCTTACTTCGTTGGAGAGACGACCTCAAAGCAGAAGCGGCGCTCTATGTCTTCACAGTGCTTCACCGTGCAGAGTCTGAGGTCCTCCACTACCACGGTGGGACTGTCCTGCAGCAAGGAAGCAAGCTCAGTGTTAGCAGCCCAGCTCCCAGCACTGCCAGCAACAGTAACCCCCAAATACACCCCCAACAATGGCCTCATGTAGAGATCTCTGTTTTCTCATATTGTTGCTATAGATAGAAGCTATGAAGGCCCAGAACTCATGGAGGCAGTTCCAAATTGTCCATTTAATGTGCCTCATCAAAATACTGTATGCAAATTAAATGCAGTCATTTAGAGAAAGGACTGGCCCACAATTGGCCAACAAGTAAAAAGTATTATCTCCTTGTTGGCCCTCTTCCATCCCACTGATGCCCATTACTCTTTGGGGTCCCACTCACACACAGAAAAGCTACTTTCTCCCCAGAGAGAAGTCTTTAATGAATCATGTTTTAAATAGCCCAACAAGAAACAAGAAATTGGTATATTCTTCTTGAAATTCTTACAAGAAAGAAAAAGATTTTACCACTCCCTAATTAAAATACTTGTGCAAAAACCAGAAGAAAGCACCAATGGATTAGCTACAAGGTTCGCATGAACCTGTAATTAGTGTGGCCATCTCACAGGCCAACTGGGTATCAGATGGTCATGGTGCACAGACCATCACTCAAAGGCAAAGTGAAAAGCACACTACTAATTAACAAATGGTTTTCTTCCCAGTGTCTAGCATTCTCACAAACCATCCCAGGACACCTTTCCAATACATTAAACCCCTTACCTTGAAATGAGGCCAAGAAAACAAACACATAAACACATCAGTAACAAAGTATAGGGTTGCTATCTACATTATTAAGTGTACATTTTGACTTTTATCATTTTAAAGCATTCTACACTATCACCATTGGTCCTAAGATAATGTGTTCTAAAAGACAAACTGTCTGCAGCCTCAAAATATTACTACTATGGGATGTCAGAGTTAGTCCTGCCACATAATTAACAAAAGGACTTAATAAAATGAAGGTAGTAATCCTAGTACACAAAACATCTTAAAGCTAGGAATTAAAATTTCAGAATTGGAGCTGGAGAGATGGCACAGTGGTTAAGAGTGTATAGTGCTCTGACAGAGGACAGGGTTAGGGTCAGGCAGCTCACAGCTGCCTCTTAACTCCAATTCCAGGAGGTCTGATGCCCTCTTCTGACCTCCCCAGGCACTGCACTCAAGTGTACAAATCCACACTCAAGATATATATATATATATATATATATATATATATATATATACACACACACATATATACATATATTCTAGCCTTTGTATACATGGTACAGAGACATACATACAGGCGAAATACCCATACACATTCAAAGAAGCAAAAAGAAAAAGCTGTTTAAAAAGGAAGAATTCATAATCGAAGGACTAAAAAAAAAATGGCTCAGCCGTTAAGGGTCCTCACTGCTCACAGAGGACCAGAATAGGGTCACAGTACCCACATCAGCACCCATGACCACCTGGAACTCCCTCTCCAGGGGTATCAAACACCAGTGGTCTCTGTGAATACCTGCACTCACATGTACAAAGACACATACATTCTCATAATTAAAGATAGTAAAAACAATGCTGGGCACGGTGGCGCACGCCTTTAATCCCAACACTCAGGAGGCAGAGGCTGACAGATCTCTGCCAGTTGGGGGCCAGCCTGGGACACAGAGCAAGTTCCAGGCCAGTCAAGACTGCATAGGGAGATCATGCCTTAAGATAATATTCTGATGGCTCTGGGGGCATTGCAGTCACATGCACAAAGCTGCACTCTGACACACATGTACACACAAATGAAAATAGATCGTTTTTTCAAAAAGAATTCAGAATCAAATCACTCAGCCTTTAAGGATTTAGGGTTAATAGCCTCCACTCCATTCCACTTGTTGTACCTATCCAAACATAAAACCAATAATTTTGGTTTTGCATATGGATATTAATGAACTTTGGTGTTCACCAAGAAGACAAAGAGACAAAGAACTAAAACCGGAACTCCCCAGTTTTCACTGTATTGCTTAACAAAGCACATACCTTGAACTTTTTCTGGTAAACCAACTGATTGTTCTGTATGGAGAACCAGCGTCTAGATAAAGACAGACAGATTAAAGATGGCGCACACGCAGTCATTCTGGGGGTGGAAATGAAACTAGACACCCATGTCGGGTGATGGTGTTTGGAGAAGTGCACTGCTTTGTTTTCATAAACTGAGGCATGTGAGAAAACTTCTAAAAACTAAGAATAATCTGAAAAATCACAGGTTAGGGAAATAAATTAGCTATGTTTTGGTTCATTTTATGTCATAACTTTATATCTTAACAAAAGCTTTTATTTCTTCCTGCTAAGGCCATAACGATTTTAAAAGTACAAACTTACGTGTTTTTTTTTTGAGGTGCTAAAATAATATTTTTCCCTCAAATCTCTACTTTTATGATAAAGAAAATGTAAACTACAAATAAAATGTCCATTTATATTAAGATAAATGGTGCTTTCTTTTACAACCTTTTAAAAGCTAATTCAGCAAATGTTTGATCTGATCAGCAAAACAGACTAATCACTTAGAACTGTATCAAACGTTATCATAAACTTTATCACAAGCTTTATCTCATATAAGAATTCTTACTTCTCAGGCGAAGAGCGTGCTACCATATATGAACAATCCCCCCATTTCACCAACTGTTTAAATGGCTATCCTCATCACTGTTAAGTTATTAGGAAAACAATTTGCTCACAATCTTCTTTAGAAAAATGGCTGGCAATGCAAGTCATATGCACTAATTCTAATTTATTAAAATAATAAAAAGAACTAAAGACATAACAAAAAAAAATCACAGCCAAAAGCCATTCATAAAGAAAGCAAGACTTCTCACAAGCAGGAAAAGTGAACAGTACTTGAGTTATTTTTAAATTAGTTTTATATGAGATGACTTTTTAATATAAACATTAGTTATTAATCTATTAGCAGATAGAGATTCTACCTTTTCATTGACAGTAATACAAATTACTAGAAATTATATTTAGGTGCTTTGAATTTCTATTTTCAAATTTTTAATTATTTCTCCAAAGCTGAGAAAGAGCCCCGAAGACACTTTGGGGGTTTTAGGCCGTTTACTGGGTGGGTGCGTTTTCTTGACACTTAAAAGTGTATCACCTTTTTCATTGAGAGAGTTTGTTAAGTAAGCATCTAAATAAAATAAAGTGGTGTGCCGCTGAATGCAAATCAACAGACCAGAAAAGGAAGAACTTCCAAGGCTCTGGTTTGGGGACAGGCAGCCGGTTAGAAGTGTTAGAGGAAATTCCTACACACAACCAAGTGGTGCACCCTGCCACATGGATGACATGCAATGGAGACAATCTCTGAATGTAAATAGAACATTGTTTGTAAATTCATTTGAGGAGGGTGAACTCTGTTAATAAAAATGTATAGGTTGTCTATCTTACATAGCTTGAGAAAAACAGTTCTATTAAATAACGGGAAGACATCCATATAAAAATGCAAACTTGTCATGCTTCTGAGGTCCTCAAAAGGTATTTTTTCTTTTGATCTGGCCCATCTTAGGACAGTGCTCTCTAGAAACACTACTACTAATAATATAGTAGTAGTAGTAAATGCTGCTATCGGATCGGGGAGACTGTTCCCTTCAGTTATTAACCTTATGGAGCCTAGGAATCTCTGAAGTTCAGGTTCCCCAATATTTATCTGCTTCTGGGTGACATTCTTACATCATCGGATTTATAAAACACTTAGAAAAGACAATACAAATTTCTCTTCATTTGCTACTTGCTTAAAGAAAGCATAATACATCATAGATAGCAGAAATGGAATTACAAAGATGTGTTTGTCTGACACGATCTTCCTTCCGCTACCATTAGAAACGCACATCAAACACCAACCAGAACCTCAACTAGGCGCCTAAAGGTAATGACATATATGTGTGCGTATCTGGGGAGTCCACGCATGTGCTCTAGTGTGCATGCACATATATGTAGATGCAGGTAGAGTCCAGAGGACAACCATGGGGATCATCCTTAGGGCACTGCCCAACTCCTTTGAGACAAAGTCTCTTATACTCACAAACTGGGTTAGACCAGCTGCTGGCCATTGAGCCCTAGGGACCTACCTATCTCCCCCTCTTCAGTGCACCTGGCATTTGTGTGGGGGAATATAAGAGATCAAATTCAGGTCCTCATATGTGCAAGGCAAGCACTTTACTGACTGAGCTCTCTCTCCAACCAATGGAATAGAGTTTTTCATTGTTCCTATAAGATAATCCTAGTGACTATTAATATTTACAAGAAAGGGAAAGTGTGATGAACAGCTCACAGCTTATGAATTATACACACACACACAAATACTTAATATTTGAAGCACTTGGTACAGGGAATTTTAAAGTACTACAGAAACCATAACTAGAGCCAAGAGACAAGTTTTAGAAAGCAACATGGTAACATAGTCTAGAAGACTGAAAACTAGAGCACAAATTTTTTAAGATCAATTTATTTAATGTATATGAGTGCTCTATCTGCATATTTGTCTTTTGCCAGAAGAGGGCATCAGATCTCATTAGAGATGGTAGTGAGCCAACATGTGGGTGCTGGGAATTGAACTCAGAACCTCTGGAAGAGCAACCAGTGCTCTTAACTGTGAGCCATCTCTCCAGCCCAAGGCTAATTTCTTAAGTGTAAGAAAAGACACATTTTGTATCTCTCTCAAATAAAAGTAATTTAGTATAATTTAGACCAATGTATTATACTTATTTTTTTAAAAAATAAATACTACTAAATGTCAAGGAGAACTTCCACGTGACAAAATTTAGGTCAAATGGGGAAAAATAAATTTATAAAAACTAAATATATTTTACTATGTTTGATCTTAGTATCAAAAATATTGGCAAAAGTCAATTGTCCTTTCCCAATTCAAATCAACCGAGGACATGGGCAATTAAAAGGTACAATTCTCTTCCTCAAATAAATTCTTATATTTTCTTTCCAATTTAGAGCTTAAGGAGATTTTTTTTTTTTTTTTGTCCATTGCAAGTAATCCACCTGAAAACGGGTTAATCAGGCTTTCTCGTGCTACAGAGGAAATTGGATAAGAGGAGGGAGGGCAGGAAGCTATTTGGTACCTGATATGATCGGGCTTTTTCCTGTCATGTGAAAAAATGGGCAGGGTTAAAACAAAAGGGAAAGGTGTAAAAGAAAGAAAATGCAAATGCGCAAATAAGCAAAGAACCAGCATGATACAAAAATAAGAAAAAAAAATTAAAGAAACAAGCTTAAGCTAACAACCTAACAATGCAGTCAAAGAATTCATGTGTTTTATTTATGTATTATAAATATATACATTTTATAACATTTCAATTCTTAAGAAACTGAAATATTTTGAAAATATTTGAATTTTTATGTTACTATTACCTTATACACCTATCATAAGCCTCTATGCTTATAACTCGAAAATACAGATAGTATTGTGCCACACCTTAATATTAAGCTGTGCCTGGAAGGCAAGAGGAAAAATCACTGAATGTTTACCTACAGAAGCCTTAAGCAAATAAAAAACTTTTTGGAAAGAAAGTGAGGTTACTAATTAAGAATTTCAAAGATCATAATAAAGTAATGACTGATAAAGCTCCAACCTACCTATATCCGTCTTCATCATCAAATGATAAGAGACTCTAAGGCCATATATAAATGTAACTCCTTTATTGTTTTTAGGGGAGTAGGAAGGTGGAGACAGGGCTTGGCTGTGTAGTCTAGGCTGAGCTTGCACCCATAATCCTCCTTCCTCCCCCTCCCAGGTTCTGGGACCACAGGTATGCACACTCTACCCAGCAGACTCATATTTGGTCTATGTACACACTTCTTACTTTAAAACAAAAGGCCAAAAAAAAAAAAAAACATTTTATTGGGCTGGAGAGATGGCTCAGAGGTTAAGAGCACTGGACTGCTCTTCCAGAGGTCCTGAGTTCAATTCCCAGCACCACATGGTGGCTCACAACCATCTATAATGAGATCTGGTGCCCTCTTCTGGTGGGCAGGCAAATATGCAAACAGAACACTGTATATGTAATAAAAATAAGTAAATAAATTTTAAAAAACATTTTTATCTGTACCAACAGTATATAGGACATTTTGCTTTAAATTTTTGTATAATACATTTTATGCACTGGGTTATATTTTCTGATCAAACAAAGGAGTCTGCTTCTTTTATTAGCCTTTTCAACTTAATGCTGAATTATGTTAAAAGTTATTTTCCCTGTTGTCTTCTTTCCAAATTCATTGTGAGACAAAAAAGAGAAAGGTTCCAATGTTTACAGTCTGAATTGAAACTGCCATACTGAGAAAATGACTTAAGAAAGCTCACTGTTGCAGACCTTACATGCACCCTCAGTCCCTTGGTGTCAGTGTAGTGCTTGGTTCTAGGACACAATCGCATGTACCCACATCTGTAGATGCTCAACTTTCCAAGATAAAATGCAGCATTTGTATAGAATCATAAATGTGAACTCTCACACATAAGTGTGTGTAAAGGAGAGACAGACGAGAAGGAGAGAGGGAGGGGGAAAGGAGAGAGAGAGTGTGTGTTTGAGAGTTTGTATGTGTGTGTGTGCACGTGCATGTATGAGTGTGTATGTGTGTGTATGTGTGTGTATATGTGTGTCTGTGTGCATGTGAGTGTATATGAGTGTGTATGTGTGTGCATATGTGTATGTGCATGTGAGTGTGTGTGAGTGTGTATGTGAGTGTGTGTGAGTGAGTGTGTATGTGTATGAGTGAGTATGTGAGTGTGTGTGCATGTGTGTGTGTGTGTCTGTGTCTGTGTGTGTGTGTGTGTGTGTGTGTGAGTGCGTGTGTCGGAAAGACTTGCCATGCTGCCCTCTCTGTGATCCGGTGATTCCCCACCTGGGCCTTGAATTAAGTGAGTTCATTCACCCTGGATTTACTGACAACTGCTACTATACTGTAAATGCTATGTAAATAGTATTGTTGCATTGTTTACAGAATAATTATAACAAAAAACCTCCATGTTAAATGCAGAGTTGGTTTTTCCCAAAATTGTTGATTCTCAGTTGGGTGAGTCCTTAAGTGTAAGGTCAGGATAACTTGTATATATGCTGCGGTGCCACAAACAAGATATCTGGGATCTAGCAGGAGCATGACTGGCAGTGCATAAAAGACATGAGAGCCATCTGCTCTCTCACACAAAACATAATTATCATGCTACACTATCCAATACCAGACACTGCTTTTAAAGGGGAAGTATGATTTATGAAACATGAATGGGATTATTTTTTAACATTTGGGAATTCTTAGTCACATTCACATGTCCCTCAGGATGGAGCTCCTTGATAGCTAATGCTGATAATATGGCATAATTTCATAAAATCATCAACAAGAACAAATGCATCATTATATGATTGGTACCTATGGTAGCTACAAAAAAAAGGGGGAAACTTTCCTTGAAACTAATCAAACAATACTTTTTTAAAAAATATGTAAGCAGTAAGTAGGAAAGCTTAGTATCTGAAGAGGGGGATTCTAAGATGGTCTTTTGGTTTGGTTTGCTTTGATTTTGGTTTTTCGAGACAGAGCTTCTCTGTGTTAACTTTGGAGCCTGTCCTGGAACCAGTTCTATAGACCAGGCTGGCCTCAAACTCACAGAGATCTGCCTGCCTCTGACTCTCCAATGCTGGGATTAAAGGCGTGCGCCACCACTGCCTGGCCTCTGAGATGTTTTTAATATTAAGGAATATATAGTCTTATTCAGAGAAGCCAGATGTATTATAATAAATTAGATGGAAAATAATTCATAAGACACTAAACCAAACATGGATGAAAGAAAATTATTTGCATGTCCTGAGATTAGATATTTGATAAGCCTCTTCACTGCTCTTTCTTCTCCTGTTCATATAATTCCTTTCTGCTATATTTTGCATATGATCCGGTCCCCCCCAAAGGTTCTGCACTAGATCTGGCTCACTAGGATGGTGGAATCCTTGGAGACGGGGCCATGTGCTGGGTGACTACATCATTGAGGACACTGCCTGTGCAAGGGATCAGTGAGAGTCACCCGAAGTAAGATATTGATCATTTTCCTTCCTGCTCTTTGGCTTCCTGTCTCAAGATAAGATCTCAGCCACACAGCTCTGCTACTGAAACCCAGCCCCTCAACTGAGTCATCCAATCTTTAATTCCCAGACTACAAAACCATGAGAAAATAAATCCTTCTTTGTCGCTTTCATCTCAATAAATCTCCCTGCCCTTGCTGATTGCACAGGTCACAGGCAGCCCTTGAACCAGCGGCTTCATTTCTGACCTAGCCCATCTACAACGGGACATTTATAGCTACTCCGTACTCAATCTTGCTTTTGTTTTAGTATCAATGCCAGTTAATATGATTCATAAAACAAATAATAAGAAAGAAAAGGTCCACATTTGATTGATTTTATTCTACTGCTCTGAACAGCAACTGAATTCCCCACTAAGACTAGCTGAGCTGAGCTTTGGAGTCTGATGAGATCACATTTCTCACTAGAGTGGTTCAGGGAAATCCATTTTTTTTTTTCTTGCTAACACAATGGTTATGTTTCTAGGGATTTATTGTATTTTGGCTTTTGTTTTCTTAATATTTAAGGAGTTGTAAATCTGAAGGTTAAATTTCAATTCTAACATTACACTATAACACCACACTGGCTGGATAATCTTATAAAATTACTGCACTCTGGTTGTTTCTAGTTTCCTACACTAGCTATAGAATTTGCCAATAAGGACTTAAAAGACCGTTGTTTTACATTTCAGCTCACGAAACACAATTTTAATTTTCCACTTTCACTGAATAATAACTAGATAACATCACTATAGCTTATCCTCCAGTACCCAGGTTTCTTTTAAAAGTTCTATATAACTCAGAGCCTTAATATTAAATATCTTTATTCTTTCCAGATTATTCACTGCCATATGAAGAAAATTTTTCTTCAAATAAAACCATGTACCATTTAGATTTACTACAACATCAAATACTAACGAAATGCTCAATAAACCATTGACATTTAAAAATGTCACTGATGCTTTTGAACTTCAACACCAAGAAATCTAAGGAAGTGCAATCAGAACCCATCTCAATACAGCAGTGAGGTTCCCATTTAAATTAACACAATGTACACCAACGAACTACTGAGGAGACACTATCTATTTTAGTAGGTTCATCTTAAGGAGCATCTCCATCACTGGGTGAATGCAAAACCTGCTCTTAATACAGAGGAAGACATTTCAGCCGACCATGCAATAGCAAATCAATTACCCAGAACACAGATACTACTCTCAATTATTTATTATAAAATTGTCCTCTTTGGATTTAAACAAAAAGGAAAAAAAAAAAAGGTATCCGTAAGTAAAGATCAATCACTAACATGCAGAAGGATGGCCCTGACCCAAGATACCTTTCAATGCTATTAGGTATGAGAAACAGTAAAAATATTTTGTATTTTCTTTCTGTTTTGTTTAGCAATTTTTGATACAAGATCGTACTATATAACCAAAGCTAGTAAGGAACTGAAAATCCTCCTGCCTTCACCTCCTGATAGGATTAAAGGTGCCCTCCCCCATGACACCTGGCTATAATTTCATTCTTATAAGATATTTTATATTTCATAAAAATTAATTAAGCCCACCTGGGCTTAAGACTCACAAGTAAATTTTACTTTGGGGGACAGGGTTGAGACAGGATTTCTTTGGATAGCCCTGGCTGTCCTGGAACTAGCTCTTTATCCCAGACTGGCCTCAAACTCAGAGATCCACATGTCTCTGCCTCCTATATCTGGGATTAAAGGCTTTTGCCACCACCATCTAGCCACAAGTAAATTCTTAATAAAAGAAAATAAAAATGTATGTGTGTGTGTATATATATATACATACATACATATATACATACATACATACATATATAAATCATTACAGACCACACATTAACAAATTCTAGTTTTTTCCTCCAAGCCTTAAGTTTCAAATCTAAAAATCTGTGTTTTCACTTTCCTGACCCTTATGACTCAGTGAACTATATTAAACCAAGTTAATAAAGAATTTGTAGAATTTAGATAGTTCTGGGGGGAAAGAGTTGCCAATTACAAGGAAAGGCATAAAGGCAAACGTTAAAATCAAGACTAATGATTGAAGTCCGTTACCTGTTCCACGTTTTGAAGGCATTGCTGGCTCGCTTGAAGAGATACCCTTCCATGACAATGCCATTCGCAGCGTCTACGTTATACTCTAGCTTGGAGTCATCACTGGAGAAGTCCTAAACAAGATACATGAGTTCAGACAACTGTGTTCCCAGCAAAAGAAATGTATCCAGGGAAAGAGCTTTAAAAAGTTTGCAGTAAGTCGCACACAAACACAGGATGCTGGGAACCAAACTTTGGCTCTCTGCAAATGCAGCAAGCACTCTTAACTTTGAGGCCATCTTTCTAGCCCTGGAAGCCAGACTTATACTGTCTGGAGAGCTCTTCTGCAGAAATTGGATGACACTTAGCTGTGAGAAACCAGTGTTAGAGGGGAAGTGAGTGAGAATCAACCTGGGGCTTTCTAACATGAATATGCTAAAACATGAAAAGGAAATAGGCTGAATTAAGAATTATATTTTGAATTCCTGGTATCTTTTAAATTTTAAGCATAAAAAGCCAACCTATAAATGAAATATATTTCTACATATTTTTTCCTTGGAAAAAAATAAAAACACTAGTCCCTTCTTTAAAACTATGTGTACATCTATTTTTTAAATTCACATTACTTTGTGTCTGTGCATGTGCACACACGTGCAAGCATGTGTACCTGCATGTGAGGTGCCGAAACCGAACTCAGTACGACAGACAAGAGCTCTGCTCCAGCACACATACCCCAGCAGTCCTTTACAGCAGAGCCCAGCAAGTCAGTAATAGACGTAACTGAGTTTTGCAACATGTGTGTATTTACAAGTGCATACATGATCATCTGTGCACGTGTGTGTGCGTGTGAAGGCAGGGGTCAACACTAAGGATCTTCCTCTGCTGCACTCTACCTTATGTTTTGAGACAGGTTCTTTCAATAAACCTGGAGCTCACTGATTTTTCAAGACCAGCTGGCAAGCAAGCTCCAGGGGTCCACCTAGCTCCAATTCCCCAGCACTGGTAGTGCAGATGTAGGCCACAACTCCCAGCCTTTTATAAGGCTGCTAGGAGCCGACTACAGGTCCTCACGCTGACACAGCACACACACTACCAAATGAGCATCTCCCTAGCCCTGACCTTTCCAACATCTTTAAAGGGTTCTCGTGCTTTTAGGTTTTAAATTTTAAATCAGCACAGAGTTCATTATGACATACTCATATGTGTAGATCTCATTTACTTAGTACTAATATATTAGTCTAGATTCCACATTTGAGAAAGAACTTACTATTTATCTTTCTGACACTCGCCAATTCTGTTCCCACTTCTATCCATCTTCCTGCAAATGACGTAATTTTATTCTTCTTTAAGGCTAAATGAAACTGTGCACAACTGCATGGACATGTGACATTTTCTTTAGCCATATGTTTGGTGAAGACACCTGGGTGGCTTCACATCTTGGCCACAGAGAACAGCAGCAATTAACTTGAGTGTGCAGGTGTCTCTGCCAAGTGCTTCCCTTGTATACTTCAGGTGCAGGCCCAGGTACAGCTGTGTCACATGGTGGGTTTTTACTTGCTTGGGAGTTTGTAGCATCTGTAGGCTCTTAGAAATCGAGCATAAATAATGGGGCTGGGAGTACAGCTCAATGGCAGTGTGCTTGTCCAGCATGGGCAAAGCCACATTACACTCCCAGCACCAAAATAGTAATAACACAAAACAAAAGTGAAATTTCCGGGGATGTTCAATGCACTGTAAACCTGTATTCTCAACTTCTTCTTGAGATTTATGAGTACACAGGTGTAACACAATGCAGTGGGTTCCATAGTAAGCAGCTCGTAATAGTGGACGCAATATTGCTGCTGGAATCTCTGGGAACACACTCATGACCTGGCAGTTAGGAGGGGACACTCAAAGGCAACTGGAAGAAGGGAAAACTGGAAGACAAAGAGGTTAACAGAACAAGGACATCTGGCTTTCTGGAGAACCGGGCTTTCCTGCAGGGCCTAGGAAACAGATGGCTCAATTAAGAAGGGTGAGTGAAGGGAGCTAGCAAAAGCCTCCCCACCAAACCTTTGGCAAGTGAGAGTCAAAGACCATCATCTGCACTACCATTCAAGACTACCGCAAAGGTCCTAGTCAACGGGAGCATGCAAAACAGTGAAGGTGGAAAGAAAGCAAGCAGCACACTGACTTAGGGAGGGGACGCTGTACACAGAACACTCAAAAGGATTCAGAGAGAAATCAGTATCGAGAGCATTAGTGGGACTGCTGGGTATAAATCAATACAGGGAGAACATTAGTGAAACTGCTGGGTATAAATCAATACAGGGAGATCAATCTCACCCAAATATAACAGAGACGAACGAACAGTGACTTTCTAAAGGGAGCAGTTACAGGAACATTTGTAATGTAAGTGTCTGGGAATAAGTCTAACCAAAGGTATGTAAGAAAAATCACAAAACTTTATGCAAATCATTAGAGAAAGTTTAAACAGAAGGTAGACTAAAACTATGACACAGAAATTATTATAAAATAAGCAGGCTTGCTTTCTCATAGATTCAATATAACCTTGATCAGAATCCCAAAAGTGGTTTTTGTTTGTTTGTTTTTTCAAATTAGTTACTACGTTGTGTATACTGGGGGAGGACTAACAAATGCCACAGCATGAAGGTCGGAGGACAACTTTGTTTCAGAGACTGACCCGGACTACCAGGTTAGTGTCGCAAGCGCTGTACCCATTGAGTCACCTCCCCAGCTCTTATCACAGAATAAAATTACTCCTGGGGTTTGAATGTTTACAAAACTCAGTCTGCAGAGAGAAGGGGGAGGGAGCTCTGCTTTCTCATACACGAAGAGCTACTATAAAGCTGATAACAACTGGGACGACAATGTGTTGGGATGATTCTGACAAAATGACCGTGGGATAGAAAGGACAGAGGAGGAGTGGGGTGTAACACGTGCTGCAGCACTGAGCGTTAGAGGAAGAGGCTTGCTAACTAACTCACCAAGAGCAACCATCCATCCAGGGGAGGGAGGAGCAGATCTCTATCCCACTACACACAAGAACCCAGTTACACTCAAATTAAAGAGCTGAATGCCAGGGCTGAGGACGCAGCTCAGTGGCAAAGCACCTGCCCATCATACATGAGGCCAGGGCTCAATCCCCAGCACACGACAAAAAAGCAAACAAAGCAAAGATATAAACATGGAAGCAAAGCCACATGGGAGAGTTGTTTGTGAGCTTTGTGATGGTAACTGCTGAACAAGTAACAAAAGGGCCGGGCAAGGGCATGAAAACCTAAAACACATGTATCTAGAATAAAGGAAGCACTTGATCATCAGTTAGGAAACCTGGCAGTAAAAAGGAAGAACGGAGAACAGACATTCACAAACAGGGACCACAGATGACTGGAAGATACAATCACTAGTCACTAATGATGCATGGATGGAAACTGCAATGTGACGGCCACATCCACAGTGCAGTGATGAGGGCATTAGGGAGCCTCGGCGCTGCCTGTCAGCATCCTCGACACAGTGAGCATTTGCACACTGCCTGATACAGCAGCTCTGCTCCATTAGTGTTAGTGTGAACATCTCTCCAAAGACATGCAAAGGCACGGGCAGGACATATAAAGGCATTCACAGTATTGCTATTTCTCACACTGATTAATGCAGTTATTAAAATGTACATCAGAAGTGTTTTCCCTGAAATTTTAGTTGACTTGGGTTTTTTTTTTTTTTTTGGTTTGTTTGTTTGCTTTACCTGTAATGCAGCCTGTGTCAGCATTTGGGGACAGAGAAAGTATTCACAATGAGTAAAAACAGCATTATTTTCTTAAAGGAAAACAGTTGTGTATTGTTTAAAGTCAAATAATCTCATATTTGATAATTTACCAGTTTGAGACCTTCAGTATGATACTGAACTATGTATACAATAAAATATTAAAAATATATTCAATTTAATCAGCAGTCACATATTTCTGAAAACACAATTTGTCATTTTACTAAAAAATGATTGATTCCACTTTTAGCAATCATTTGACAGTAATGCCATTAAAACAAGCTAGTCATCAAAATGCCATGTTGTGTGCCCTAAACACAAAGAAGAGCCAGGCATGGTAATGCACACCTAAAATCCTGGAACTCAGGAAGCTGGGGCAGATGGATCATGAGTTCAAGGCCCATCTGAGCTACACAGCAAGACTCTGGAAAGAGAGGGAGAGCAGAGGAAGGGAGCCAGCCATGAACTGTAAGTTAAACTGAAGCTGGATGGAGGTGCACACCTGTAATCCCAGGCACATGCAAGGCAAGAGTGGGAGGGCTATGAGCTAGTAACTAGGCTGGGCAATACAGAAGGATCACGGCTTTAAACAGAAGAAAATACGGTGTTAGCCTCATCCTCTAGTAACTAGAATAACTGACTAAAGGATGGCTTCAGAGAAGTCTTTCCTTTCCTACGTGCTATTCTTCTTTGAGCATGAATAACCCAGTAATTATTTTTTCTTACACTTGCTACTGATTTTGCTTCATGTTTTTCCCCATTCACATCTTCTGTGTGTGATCTGATTTAAGTAATCTATAATCAAAGATGACCTGATTGCTTATTATCAAGGGAACAGATTTATTACAGCATGCAGAAGGAACTTTGTTATAACTTTATATGACTATTCAACACCTAACTGGCCTTTTTTGCTTGGGTCACTGCACAAATCCATCACAGACTATTACCTATAAAGTACCATCGGGCTATGCGTCAGACACAACACACACAACTCTTGTATAAAGAAATAAGTACAAATTTACTATTGAATTCTCATTTTCAAAAATACTTGTCAAAAGTAGTTTAGCTAGGCTTAGGCATTAACAAGCAATGAGGGTCCAGAAGGGACAAACTGCCCTAGAATAGCTGTAGCTGGGAAGTTAGAGAGAAGGTGTGTGTGTGTGGGGGGGTGCACACATTCTCTCTCACATACATATATGTATACAGATGAACACACACATGCCCCAACACACACACACACACACACACACACACACACACACACACACATTGGCAGGTGGTTATAGGTATTCTAACTGAAACCATGAAAAATATTCAAACTTTTAACAAGGTGTAACCTTTAGTTAAGCCCCTGATAGATTAGCAGTATTTATAAATTGGTTCAAGAACATAGCTTGCAAACGTTTTGACCTGGAAAGGTAATGAAGTGTATACATTAACATCTAAAACATTTTACTTCCCACAAAAGAAGGCTTTACTGTAACAGCCACTGAAGGGATCTGTTTAACAATGGCAGCTTGCATACGATAACATTCCTGGGAATGCAAGGCAATCTCATCTGCCCTGTACCTTCTGTTGGATAGTAGAATGTTTTTGCTCCATCTCTCTTTTCTCCTTTGCCGCATCCACAACCAGTCGATCCAACTGAAGGAAAGAAGAAAATTATCGACATAAAAGTCAAAGAAGCATAGGTATTTTGTAAACCGTATTCCAAGTCATTTGACAGATAAATATAAATCACCTGGCTGAAGTTAACCTAAAAAGGCATTTTTGGCTAAATATTCAAGTAGAAGTTCACATTTTTCTAGTATTAAGTCCTTTTTGAGAAAGCTGGTTGGTATCTTAGGGGGAAAGGCTTCCGAGCTGGAAGCCTTGTCTTGAGCATTGCAGCAGTGTATGTCCCATCCTTAAAGGACAGTGACTCTAACCTAAAGTGCCTGTGACCGACCCTCTTAGAAGACGCTGGTAGCTGCAGAAAAGATAAAAACAAAACAAAGCACACACACACACAAACATGATTTGTTTTCCAACACTATCTGAACTAGGTAGGGCAAAGGTCACAAGCTCCCAGCAACACATATATCCCATCACTCGCCACACACCATGTTTTCAACTTGCCTTCCTTGCATTATAATCTAAACTGTAGCCGGCCAAATAAATAAGAGATGGCCTGGGGGACTGAGGGAATGCAGTAATAAGCTTGCTTGAGCCCGGAACTAAGACCAGACTGGTAAACACTGTAAAGCCCTGGCTCTGAAAGGTTAAATTAGATAGAATAATAAAGGAATATTAATTCCATAGTTTCAATTGTCATATCCTGCTTACTCAGCTACTACATGATTGTCCTAACTGGCCACATCTAGACAGACCACTACAGAAAATGTGTATTAATGCATACTTTTCATGCAAAATGAAAAATTGATTGGTTTAGAAGGGGAAGAACACAAAACTGAAAGTAATAAGTACCTAAAAACAATCATTTCCACTAGCTAACTACAACATGATTCTTATAAATGATGCCTAATGTAAGACAGTGGGATGTAAAGAAGGTCTGACCCTCCCACCAGGCCTAGACCAGATTTCTTAGCTACGTGTCTGTACATCACACTGACTCTCTCCTGTAGTATAAAAGGTTAACTGCTCCCAGTATCTATTTCCTCCTCTTCCCCTACAATGGGAACCACCCCCACACCTAATTCTGCCAGATCATCTTCTGGCAACGAAGCTGCATTTCCCAAGTTCCTTGCAATGAGTGACAGAGCAGAGGTCAAACGTACACAAAATGGACATATGCAATTTCTAGGAAATGTCCTTAGGCAGACACGTGTCTTTCTTTTCCCTTTCCTCCTTCCTGTTAGCTGGAATTTGAAAATGATGGCTAAGATTGATAAGTCACTTTTAACCACCAGGCAACTCTGTGACACAAATGGCCATCTACCTGTGCTTCTGACTTTACATAAAAGAAACAAGATTCTTTGACAGAAGTCCTAGTTTCCTCAGGTTGGGCTGCAAACAAACCCGACCTCAGCTGATTTATGCACAGAACGTTTGGCATGTAGATGAACAGCAACCCGGTGCAGGAAACTAAACAACAGGCTGCATGTGACTCATGGCATGCTTTTCCAGGATCCCATCCTCTCTGCCTCCTCCGCTCACACACACACACACACACACACACACACACACACACACACACGTACTTAGATCTTTGAATGGTAGCCCCATTCCATTCTTACCTCTCTCCCATTTCCCTAAATTCTATTTTTTACTTAATCTCTCACCTCAAAAAGAATGCTGGGAAAGGAAACCCTACAGATTAATAAATACTATTAAATCAGAGGAAGAAGGTTCATACTCAATAAAAAGCACCATCTGCAGTGACTTGGGCCAAGTCAGTGGTGAAGTATATGCCTAGCATGTATATGGGTTTGAGCCACAGGGCTGCCAACACACATACACACACACACACACACACACACACACACACACACACACACACAGCCCACCACATACAAAATACATATTAAATATAGCTTTGCGAAATAAATGATAACAAATGGTATTGGGAGCTTTATGATTCTAATACTTTTATTACCTAAGTAGCCAATATAAATTTTTTGAAAATGAAAACAAGAAATGTCTTTAAAAAAAAAAAACAAAGGGAAATTAGAGCTGGGCTGTGTTGGTGCATGCCTTTAATCCCAGCACTCGGGAGACAGAAGCAGGCAGATCTCTGTAAGTTCGAGACCAGGTCTACAAAGCTATACGGAGAAACCCTGTCTCGAAAAAAAAATTTTAATTAATTAATTTAATTTAATTAGGTCAGCGATTCAATTATTTAAATTTAAATTTAAATTTAAAAAGTCAAGGACTACATTCCGCCAATTGTACTATAAAGAAGCAGATGTGTATCCAAGTGCTGGGACCACAGCTGAGCACCACACCTGATGCGGAAGTTATTTTAAGTCTCTTCTTCACTTCCCTCATGTTCACTATTTAACACAGGCTTTAAGCTCATTTCTAGCTCAACATTCAACCAACATGTAAGTGTGCTACAGTGTCAAACTCTTTATAAGTAAATGAGTGGTCAGAGTCCCCGGTATGTGAAATATCTTTAGAAACACAAGCGTCAACAAGCAGCACAGAACCAAGAAACCCACTTGAAGAGGTTACCTGCGCTCCAAGGTCTTTCATGTAGGGCCCAAGCTCACTGAACAGGTCATAGCCTTGGTGGAAGAAGGCCAGATGTGCGTACATGAAGGACAGCATCTAACAGGGAGACAGAGGTTCAGATGCACGGCTAGAAGCTTAGAAAGCGTAGGACTTAGAAAGTCCTCCCTGTAGTTAACATCACTCCACAAAGACCCAGAGGGTCAAACTCACTTAAAACTGAGTCGCTGTTTTCTTGAGAACTTCATAAGTATTTGCAAATAAAGAGAAACACCCAATGGTTTGACATCTTAACCACTGTAGCTGTTTAGAACTAAATAAAACTTACGTGGGTGATTTACATAATATTCTCAATAGCTTCACTGTGTTACTAGTAACCCTTAAGTACATTATGAGATGTGTTTGTGGTCCTCAGTGTAAACTCCCTAAGCAGAAAAGAAATGGAAAGAGCAGAAATGTAAACAGTAGCAAACACTCTAAGCTAAGTCACCAGGCCCCAGGGAAGTGTGGGGATATTCTAAGCTACCAGGGTCACCAGGTTGCTCTTTTTCCCAAAAAAACAGATACAAGTGGAGATGACATAGACTTTTCTGTTTTTAAAAGGCCATTTGTTTATTTTTGTGCTGTGTATGTGTTCACATGTGCCTGGGAGTGTGGAGGTCAAAGGACCTCCCAATCTGAACTGAATTTAGATCATCAGGCTGAGCAGCAAGTGTCTGCATCTTCTCAGCCACCTCCCAGGCCCTGGGAATTCCTCTATATTCATTCCACGGATCCAAAATGGACTTTAAGTATGGAGTAGGGGTCCCCAGATTTTTCTGTATTTTATTAATCTACAAAAGTTAAGTTTTATGGGAAGGAATTATATATAACTAAATGTATACAAAGGATCTCCTAAGCCCTGCTTTATTTTTTAGCAAGAACAGACATCTGTTTAATATTCTGAAAACTAAAGCAGTCATAGGGGTGTTGATACTCAAGAATCCTCTACCGAAAAAATTGTTTTCAAATTAAAAACTAGTTAAATAAAATTCAAAGATTAACAATAAAAACTCATCTATAAAAATTAGTATATAGTTAGATAATGGTAATAATTTTACAACTGTGTGAAAATATTTTTCAAACCACTTATATAAAGAGGAATTAATAAGATTATATAAAAATGTAAAATATGCCAGCCGGTGGTGGCACACACCTTTAATCCCAGCACTCGGGAGGCAGAGGCAGGAGGATCTCTGTGAGCTCGAAGCCGGCCTGGTCTACAAGAGAAAGTTCTAGAGCAAGCCCCAAAGCTACACAGTGAAACCCTGTCTTGAAAAACGAACAAAAAAAAAAGTAAAATACAACAGGTCACACTACAGTTTCCACAACAAGATTCTTCTCCTTTTTGTTGTTGTTTTTGTTTTGTTTGTTTGGTCTGTTTTTTTGGTTTTCTTTTACATTTTATTTTGTTTGGGGAAAGAGGTTGCAGGGATGGAGGGGATCAGAATGCATGATGTGAGATCCACAAAGAATCAATAAAAGAATTTTTTGAAATGTAATATACCTTATCCATCAAAATGCATACTAGGCATATTAAAAAATAAATGATAAACCAGGAAAACACAGCAGAAAATCAGTGATCTGACTCTATAAAAGGTGCCACAAATCAGTACAAAAAATGAAGACTTCAACAGAGTAAGAGAAAAGGACACACATACGGCTCATAAATAGCCAGGAAAGTATATGGAAAATTGACCAAACTCTGAAAATGTAAAATTCAATATGGAAATCTCATTTTCTGTCTATCATGCTGTAACCAAGGAAGGGGAGGAGGCAGGGCTACAATGCCCACTACCGCTAAAAATTAGTAGAGAGACGGCTGCTCTCACACACTATCAGTGAAAACAGCTTAGAAGTCTTGGAATTTGGTAGCATGTTTAAAAAGCCTTTTCCAGATTTGAAAACTTTAACTAGGGATGGGAAGACGGCTCGGGGAAGAGGGCTACTGATCTTAACACCTAGAGTTCAATCAAGCCCCTGGACCCCCATGGTAGAGAACCTATTTCCACAAGCTGTCCTTTGACCCTCCACATGTTCACCATGTTTGGGGGGAGGGGGGCTGGAGAGAAGGCTCAGCAGCTGAGAGCACCTGATGCTCGACAGAGGACCTAGGTTCAGTTCCCAGCACCCACACAGCAGCTCACACCTGTCTGTAATTCTAGGGCCAGAGGATCTGATGCCCTCTCTCCTGATCTCTGTAGGCACCTGGCAGGCATGTAGTACATATACATGTGTACAAAACACACATACACATAAAATAAAGAAATCTAAAAAATATTTTTAAAAAGAAACTTTCTAAAAAGCAAATACAGCCAGGCTGTGGTAGCACATGCCTTTAATCCCAGCACTCAGGAGGCAGAGGCAGAGGCAGGCAGATCTCTAAGTTTGAAGGCAGCCTGGTCTACAGAGTGAGTTCCAGGACAGTCATGGCTACACAAAGAAACCCTGTCTCAAAAAAACCAAAACCAAAACAAATAAACAAACAAAAACCCAAAACTTAAAAGCAAATACAAATAAAAGAAAATTCAAGGTGATGATCATATTTGATAAGTTTCAAAACAATCCTGAAATGTTCTCACTGGTTCCAGTCACCACTTCCAGCTACTTTCCATAAGTATTAGTATCTAGACCACATAAAACATTACACTAGAAAAACAGAGTGGAGCACCAACAGTGTGTCTGTCTTTGTGGGGAGGCCATATGTTAGTTACACAGACACATCAACAGCCGTACCTTGAAGCAGACAACACAGGAACTAGAAAAGGGGAGCAAAGGGAGCCAAGGGCTACTGGGCAGAGCATCCCACTACAGGGACTACAAACACACAGTCTCAGTTAACAGCATGTCATTAAGATCTTACTGATTTCAGGATTTCTGATCTCCTCTTGGATTGAAGCACATTAATCTGAGGAAAGATAAACTTGGTTAATCACCCATGAATTACTAACCCACGAACACTAACCCAGAATACAAGATTCTAAATTCATGCTCACGATCCCAAACAAAGCTGGTTTTCATCGTTAAACCTCTTTTGGCTAAGAGTTAAGACAAGCATACCAGTGAATACTCAACCCTGGTTCTTCAAATTACAGCATCCTTGTCATGGAGCCATTTTAATACTTGAGCATGTGACATGTCCATCTTCCTCCACCCTCCTCATCTATTTGAAACTCAAGGTTCAACCACAGCCTCAGTGCTAATCATCACCCTTTACCACTTTCTATCTTTTCTGGGCTGCCTCTATTTCCCTTCTTGGCTCCATGTATGTGGCTTCTTCTCCACATGGGTACCACAGTGATTTTTGCTAATATAAATGAAGTCATATTACCTCACTGTTAAGTCCTGCAACCTCCTAGCATGTCCACCAAGGCCTCTGTGCTGAGGCCCTCGCCACCCTCTCCAGCCCAGTCTTCTCTGTGCTCCTGTCAGATCCGTCACTGTCCCACAGGTGCTTTGGCACTGGCTGTCCTGCCTCCATGTCAGGATGCTCTGCCCTGGTGACTTAGGGCTATTTGTTACTAACGCTGGCTTCAACTACACACCATCTTCTTACACAGGTCTCACTCGGTACCTGACTCGCTATTTACCGATAACATTTATAACTTCTATTGGTTTTGTTTTTGGTTTTTTGTTTATTTGCTTGTTTGTTTAGCCAGGGTCTCACCATGTAGCTTTGGCTGTCCTGGAATTCTCAATGTAGACCAGGCTGGCCTCGAACTCACAGAGATCTGCCTGCCTCTCTCTGCACCCCCAGTACTTACTTTGTGTTTTCTTACTATGAGTAGGGAAGTATAAACTCCATGAGATTAGGACCTTCTTCTCCGTTCTAGTCCCCAAGCAGAACACAGTGAGCATATGTTTAACATATATGTAACATAAATATATGCTAAAAGGATGGATTTAAGTATTTTAATTATGATGGGCTTATTAAAATGCAGCAAATTATGAGATTTTTCAGGGGTAGGGTTGAAGCTCAGTTGGCAAAGCCCTGGATTAAATCACCAGGTCCGCCCAAACCAGGGGTCAGGGTGAATGCCTATAATCCCTGGGAATAGAGGCAGGAGGATTGTGAGTTCAAAGTTATCCTTGGCTCCAGGGGGGGGGAGGGGGGGGACTTTAACAGGATCTTTTGCAATTCTAGAAATTCTTATCAAATATTTTTTTCATCTGCTTTTTAAAAACCAGCTTATTTAAATAAAACACTGATCCAAAGGAGGCCCTTCTATCTTCATTAACATTGCCAAAAAAGTATGGAACTTCTTCCAAATGTCTTCCTCACTAAACTCTCAGTCGATTAAATAAGGGAATTGTAAAACACAGTCTTAAAAACAGACCAAGAGGGCTGGAGAGATGGCTCAGAGGTTAAGAGCACTGGCTGCTCTTCCAGAGGTCCTGAGTTCAATTCCCAGCGACCACATGGTGGCTCACAACCATCCGTAACGAGATCTGGTGCCCTCTTCTGACCTGTAGGCACACATGCAAATAGAATACTATATACATAATAAATAAATTAATTAATTAAAAACAAAAAACAGCAGACCAAGAAAACTCTACCTAACTTTCTTCCTTCTCACTGGTTTCTTCTGCATGTCTGCTTCACAGTCTGCTAAGCTTTGAGAAGCACATGGACCCTCAGATGCCAAGTGCAGGCTGAGGGGAGGAGGAGAGGTCCACATTCAGATTCTCCCAGTGCCAAACACAGCCCCTGTTCAGACTGCCGAGTGCAGGCTGAGGGGACCCCCCTGTTCACTCAGGCTTCAGCTTTGCTTCTGCTTTTTCCTCTCTAGTTAGGACTAAAATCCAAACTCAAGGGAAAAAGTAAATTCAAGTACTTACAAGAGCTAAAACACTTTACACTTTGGGGTATTTTTACCTATTATTCTCTAAAAAAAAAAAAAAAAAAAAAAAAAAAAAAAAAAAAACCATTCTAAAAAAAAAAAAAAAAAAAAAAAAAAAAAAAAAAAAAAAAGCTACTCTGAACGCAAAATAAAATGACCCAAGAATTCATATGAGAGCTATCAAATAAATTCATAGTCAGGAGGAGGAGTGAGCATGGAGGCTAATGTAATACTGTCAGATGAACTCAAAAGGAAACACACAATTATTATGTTTCATTTTGAAAATAATGGATATTTTGGTCAAAGCCCGAGTGTCGGTTTGAAAGAAAATGCACCCCCACAAAGGGAGTGACACTATTAGTAGGGTGTGGCCTTGGTGGAGCAGATGTGGTCTTGTTGGAGGAAGTGTGTCACTGTGGGAGCTGGCTGTGAGCTCTCCTATATGTTCAAGCTACACCCAGTGAGACAGATCACTCCCTGTTGCCTATGAGTCAAGATGTAAGAATTCTCAGCTCCTTCTCTAGCACCATGTTGCCTTGCTACCCTCCATGATGATAATGGACTAAACCTCTGAACTGTAAGCAAGCCACCACAACTAATGCTTTCCTTTATAAGAGTTGCCATGGTCATGGTGTCTCTTCACAGCAATAAATAGCCTAATTAAGACAGCCCATTACACACAAAATTCTTAACGTTACATCATTCACTCTTTTAAAAAACAAAAATCATATACCACCTATTTTCCAACCACTGGGATAGAAGCTGTCTAGGACTACAGGCTTCAATCTACAAATGCTGGCCACACGACCATGAGAACCTGAGTTCAGTCCCCAGAACCATCAGCACAAGCTTACAATCTCTACTCTGGGGCAGGGGAAAGGGGCAGACCCCTGGGACTGGCCAACCTAGCTTAGCTCCAAGCCAATGAGAGGCCAATGAGAGACAGACATCTCCATGACACCCAAGTTTGCCCTCTGGCCTCCATATGTGCACACAAACACATACACATTCATACACAAAGGCAAAACTACAGTAATCTAGAAATAGAAAACACATGTAGAGGCCAGAGAGATGTTCTGATGGTAAAGTACTGGCATTGTGCACACAACAATCAGCATTCGGTCCCTAGACCCCACATAAAAATGCCAGGGGTCTTATTACAGGTAAGAGTACCTGTAATCCCAAAGATGCACGGGTAAAAAGGGTCTAGGTGCTCACCGTACAGGCCGGCTACTCACTGGACAGCCCGGCTAGCCTAATTGGTGAGCTCCGGTCCAATAAAAGACCGACTGAAAGTAGGTGCCTCCAAAAGTGCACACGAGAACCTGTGCAAAGACTCACACTCACGAGCATGCATACCAAGAGATAAATAAATACACATTTTCCGTTCTCCCCCAGTGGTGCCTCATGGAACCAGCACCGCCTCACTGCTGTGCGACCTTTCACCTCCAAAGGGGGGTCATCTCCTGGAAGGGTCTTGGGGGTTCATCTTCAAAAGCAGCCAATGAATTCCAGAAACCAGTGAAGCTGGTGCCACCAAGAACATACAGGTCACACGTGTGCTGCTTGGAGGCAAAGCGAAGCAGGAGCTTCACCCAGAAAAGCATTTCTCACAGTGGATTTCCTGAGAAGTTGGTGTTTGGGGCTTATGTTTAAATGCACTCATAAAAGTTTTGAAAAACTGAAAAAAGGTAAACAGTAAAATCTAATACTATTTAAGCCTGGTAGTCAAATATCAATTAAACTAAATAGAAACACTGCAGTATAAAATATGTGTAGTATATTATAACTTAGTAAACAGGAGAAAGAAATCAGAACCAAAGGCATCTATATTCACATACATGTGTGCACGCAGAAACATATGTAAACAGGGGAAGGTTTTCCGTAAAATGTCATGTTTCCCACTGGCGGTTAACAATATATACCTATAGCCAGGCACTCCAAAGACTGAGGCAGAAAGGTAGCAAGTGGAGGCCAGCCCAGGCTACACAAAGAATTTAAGGCCTGCCTGGGTTACATAGTGAGTCTGAGTGAGCTACCTCAAAAAAAAAAAAAAAAAAAAAAATTACAAAAATTTTAAATGGTGTTTTAATTCTAAGTTCAAAGAAAAAGCATTCTTTATATTTCCTGGTACAGTCACCCCACGGAGCCTGCTACTAGAAGACCCGAGGCTGGACCAGCCAACCGTACCTGAAGGACATAGTCAAGGGCTATGTGCCGGAAGCACTTCCTCGTGGCTGTGAGAATGTTCGTGGCCTCTTCAACTTCATGCTGTTTGTTCCTTTGAACTTGGGCGTTTTTTACTAGTGCGTTTTCCTTTTCTTCGCTGACTTTTTCAAATTGTTTCTTGGCATCTTTGAATTTTCTAAGATCTCTAAAAAATAAAACTTTAGTAAAACTTTCTCCAAAATTCTGGCAAAAACAAAAACAAACAAAAAAAAAACCAAATCTTAGAACATAATGCTATTGTTCCTTCCCTTATGTGTTTCCTCAGACATTGGCAGTCATAGGCTAATCCATCCTTTCCCAGATTCTGGTCGTCACTGTCCTCAGATGCCCAAACCAGGGAAACTCAGATCTGGGACTTCTGTGGCTCAGGGACATTTATATCGACTTCCAGTCTGCACTTTAATTCAGTACTCAGAGCTGAGAGCTCAAGAGTTTCAGATTTGGACATTTTAGATTCTAAGTTTTGGCCTAAGGGTGCTTATCGTTCTGTGTATATAGACCATCAGTGAGTGAGCTAATGTTTTGATATTTTAATCTGTATGATTCAAATGGAAATAATGACAACAATTGATGCAAGAAAACAGAAAGACAATTTTCTAAGGATAAATCCCAAACATGCACATGGTTTAACCATGATAATGTTTTCTAAATATTAGTGCAAAATTTACTACAGAAAATGTGTATAGGAATCCAGACGTGAATGGCCTTTCCCAAAGATTAAAATTCATTTATCTTCCAGATAAATCCCGAGAATATGGGAAGTATTTTAAGATATGCTTTTGGTTTTAAGAAACAATTCTTATAACCCCACCTCAGGGCAACACACTTGCAATCACAACTCTGGCGGCCTCTGGAAGGAGGGCTGTTGGCTCCAGGCCACCCTGGGCTACAGAGCAAGAGGCTGTCTCAAAACACCAAAAAAAAAGAAAGCAGAAGAAACAATTTCTTGTAAGAGGGAATTATTTGGTAAGAACACATAAAGGATAAAAGTAAAAAGTCTTTAAACACACGTGTTCACGAATTTGTAAAGAGCTGGACCCAGTAAAGGCTCACAACATGCCATGTAATAGTCTGAAAAGGTGAAGCCCCTGGCCCTTAGTGACCTCGGATAAATATGTAATTTCTCTCTGCTGCTACTACTACTACTAGGACACTGACAAAGTAAGCTGGGACAAGTGGTTTTTAATTATAATAAACATGACTAGGAAAGACTGTATAACTGATTTAAAACATTCCACAAGTTAGACTGGCTGAATGTTAAAGCATTCTGAAGCAATCTGAAAAACAGAGCTGTGAGGGGCTGGAGAGATGGCTCAGCGGTTAAGAGCACTGGCTGTTCTTCCAAAGGGCCTGGGTTCAATTCCCAGTACCCACATGACAGTTCACAACTGTCTGTAACTCCAGTTGCAGGGGACCCGACACCCTTCATACAGACATACAGGCAAAACCCCAATGTACATTAAATAAGTAAATCTTAAAAAAAAAAAAAAAATCAGCAGAGCTGTGAGACATCTTTGTAGGAGAGTTCTAACCTTCCAGGCTAGGGCTGTAGACCAGCAGAGCCCTTGCCTAACATCTAAGGGGGTACCACCCACAGCACTGTCTGAAAAACCCAAGTCCAAAACTACTTGAAATTGCAGTATGTAATATTTGACACTTCCCGTATATTATACCCTTACTTATCTTTAATACTGTATCAGAATTAACTGACATTTATAAAGTCCCCCACTGGAAATCATAGAAGAAAACGTAAATTACTGATGTGAAAAAATGTTTTCCTTAACTTGGAAAGTTTGGACTTTCTTTTTACTTCTACTTCAATTTTATTTCATATGTAAACATGATAAGTCTCTTCCAAAGGACCATATATAACAATATATAATTTCTGTGGCTCTTTCTCATCTATTATCTTCTCTTCAAAAAATACCACAGTGAGACGAGACAACCTAGCTTTAAATACAGTAAGTATTTTAACCACTATTGGGGCTTTTTAACTACATTTAGAAAACTTTCTGGACTTAACCAAAAGAGCTATTTAAACATATGTTCAAGGTGAATCTGATTCCCTTATAAACTCAAAATAAAAAAAAGAAAGAAAGAAAGGAAGGAAGGAAGGAAGGAAGGAAGGAAGGAAGGAAGGAAGGAAGGAAAAGAAAGAAAAAAGAAACACATTTCAAAAAACAAACTAGTCGGTATTTTCAGAAATTTGAAACCTATAATTTCTTTAGCTTTTAGCATCTTTAGCCACGCCTCCAGGCCACCACACCCGCCCACCCCCAGCAACCAGTGCTGGCTATTTTCTGCCCTCCTTACCACAACTGACTTACTCTTTAACAAAGTTCTGAAGCTGGGCCTTAATTGATCTCTGAGTTTGGTCGAACAGAATCTAGAAAATAAAACATAGCATTAAATGTCAGAAAGGAAACGGGAATGGACACACATACATGCCACAGCACCTCACCAGTTCTAATAACAGCTTATTTCTTATTGAAGACTATGAACGGCAGCGATGAAAGAAACTGAAGCCAATTTTAAGCCCAATTCTACCAGTCTCAAAAATAACTTGCTTCTCTTCATTACCAAAAAGAAATTTGGTGGAAAAAACAAAACAAACAAAAACAATTTCCTTAATTCTACTTCAAATTTGGAAGACAACCCAACAGTAGCATAAATTTCTCTTTCTCCATCCCAGCCAAAAGCAGGCTCAGCACTGTGTGACACCCAGGGAGAGTTTTTCACTGGGGAAGACTTGGGAACGTAGACAATGGATGTATTGAATTCCAGTGAGTATTACACAGTCTTTTGGGTCAAAGGACATCTGTGATTAGAAAGAACAAAATCTCAGGCCTCAGAGCAGCATTTTGTCCAGGTGTAATGATGCCCATACCCAACACTGGTGGGTCCTTCACTATAGAAATTCCAAGTACTTTCACAATTTTCACAATTACTTTAAATTCAGAGTCTGAAACTGAGTGAGATAAACAGGGGGGTGCAAACAACACACAAAACAACAACAACAAAAAAAATCTTGTGTTTAGCCAGTTGGTAGTGGTGCACACACCTTTAATCCCAGCACTCGAGATGTAGAGGCAAGTGGATCTCCGTGAGTTCAAAGCCAGCCTGGTCTACAGAGTGAGTTGACAGGACAGGTTCCAAAGCTACAGAGAAACCCTGACTTGAAGAAGAAAAAAAAAAGTGCACATTCTAATCTAAGATTCTACTACATCTGCCCAATTTGCTTCCAGAAAAATGACTTATTTTTTTTACCTGTGTCCTATTAAGCCCAATGTAAGCAAAAGAAACAATAGAAAATTGATAAAGAAAAGTCAATAAAACCAACGCATAGTTGAGATTATAAAACTGGTAAATGCAGAGAAAAGGCTATGACAAGAAGAGAGAAAGGGGGCCCTCTCCCAAAGGCTATGACAGACTCTGAAGCCCCCCCCCATGGAAGGCCTCACTCACCCTAGAGAGCAGAAATGGTATGGGATAGATAGGGTGTTAGTGGAGGGGCAGGGGAGGAGGAGAGGGAGAGGGAACTGGGATTGACATGTAAAACAATCTTGTTTCTAATTTAAATAAAAAAATGGAGGGGGGAAAAAAAGGAGAAAGGTAACAGGTCCTCTCTGGGGAATTTCCAAGAGACTGCCCAAGAAAGTGTCCCTAAAGAGAAAGCATATGTAACTGCAGGTGGATATCAGAGTGATTAGATACAGTCAATTAAAATTACCAGCCAGACAGGGCTACCGTCCTTTACAGGGAAGGGTCTGTGTGACAGACACTGACTGCAAAGTGGCTGCTCTAAAGATGGCTTTCAACGGCCCAGTCTCTTAGACAGAGGCAGTTTCCACTTTAATGCCTACTATGCTCTTGTGATAGGCTCAACAAATCTGTCTTCTTCTACTCTGGTCTGCAGGGTGAATAATTATATGTACATATCTATCTAGCCAAAGCCATGACAAGGGAAATAAAAAGGCCAAGGTTTAGATATTTAGGAGGCAGTGTATGACCTCATCACAGGCAGATATTAAAGACACATTATGTGTGCTTGAGAACCAATCATCCAATTATAAGCCTAAAAACTCAATGGAAAGGGGGACACCTTTTTTTTTTTTTTCTGAAATACAAAATCTGCCAAAGCTCACTAAGGAATCAACAACTAGCAGACTTAAGAAATAAAAAGTTTAAGACCCCCATATTAAGTAAGGTCAAGCTGGGCTACCTAGCAACCTCACTCCTTCCTACTGACCCAAGAGAAAGATGTAGGCTCACAGAAACAGCTAGAAGTAAATTTCTACAGCAGCTGTATTCAAAACTGGTGAAAACAGAAACAACTTAAATGCCCTGCACCATGAAACAAAAAGACATTAAGATGGTAATATAAAGGAACAACTTGTAACACACACAAACAGACAAGTCTCGGTACACTTGGCTAGGTAAATAAATCCTATTCACAATGCTTCACAAGCTAGGATTGATATGGCGTTTAGGAAAAAGCAGAAGCTATAGGAATAGAAAACAATCAGCAATTCCTAGTAGAGAAGGGAAGAGCAATGTGTGTTAACTGAAGTGAGGAAGGGCAACACAAGGGTGTGTGTGTGACAGACAGAGCTGCTGTGTCATCTTGATTCCGTGGTGTCACGACACAAACACACATACCGTTAAAACCTCTAAAGCTATATGCCACAAGAAATCAATTTCCATGCATGTAAATTTAAAACTAACCAAGCACGTGGCAAGCATATGGACACAGCACACATTCCTATCACTCAGTATGATTTCCTTAAAGTACAAAAGATAACATTTTGGCAAAGAAGAAACTAAGGAAAAGCGACTTAAAAACCATCACTTTATACTTGATCTTAGCCTAAAGGCCAAGAGGTGGTACCGCCAGCAATTTTACAGAATAAACACACTGAGGACAGACACAGCTGCAGATCACACACTGCTGAGGGAGTCAGCAGCAATTGACTTTGGAAAACTGTCTCCAAATTTTGAAGGTCTTGCTTTCTTTAATGATACTAAAATTTTAAAGAATGTAATAAGAAAAAGAAATTTTAATGTTTAAAATGAATATTCATATATGAAATTATTTTTCTTGACCTTTTTCTCTTAGCACACAATTCCTTCATTATCCAAGTAGTAAAAGGTCACATACCACCATCCTAGAAATGAGCCACACTACTGTTAGGTTTCCAACCTGAGACAAACGACTGAGGTGCCTATTTAACATATCAAAGCAGACAGATGCTGGCAGCCAGGCTCCCCCTGCATCCCGAGGTCCCCACAAGTTACAGGGGACTCTTGGCTGGCATACCCTGCCCTCTACCCTAAACTTCTCCAGTTCAGGGGCCAGACTACCCTTCCCTATATAATCAACCACTTGGTTACCTGGGTCCTTTTCATCTGTTCTCTTTTGTGCCTCCTGGCTTCTGCGCCTAGTTCCCCCCTCCCCTCCTCACAAGGCTCAGGGTCAGGTTCACTCTGGACTCTCCCAGATGCCCCTGCCTCTGGCTATGCTACCTTCTCCTCCGCCATACTTAGGAGAAGTCAAGTTCCTTTTCCTTTTTCTTTTTTTCATTCAACTACCCTTAGACATTTATATACACACAATAAATGCTTATCTACAGATATATATATATATATATATATATATATACATATATATGCATATATTTAGGTAGGTAGGTAAGTATGTAACAAGCAACTGTATCTTTAATAACCAAAACTAAAAAGTGATAAAATGGCACACTGTGGTACACTTAATTCTATTCTACTTTTTTCTTTTTAAAGGGACTCACTATGTGGCTGAGGCTGTCCCGGAACTCACTATATATATTCCAGGCTGGCCTCCAACTCAGACACTGTAGTCTCTGCCTCACAAGTGCTGGGATTAGAGGTGTGTGCCACCACATGGGGCACTTTTTTTTTTTCTTTCCTGAGATAGATCTGATGCCCTAGGCTGGCCTCTAATTGGATTGTAACACTCTACCCCTCTGGGCCACCCAAGGAGCTATGACTAAAGGGGGCACACTACTTCACCTGGAACATCCACAAATTCTTTGGTGACCTTTGCTTCAAAAGCCAACCCTAATTCTCTCCTCAAGTGGGAGCTGTCACTTGCTTCTTCCAAACAAGAACGAACGAAGCACAATATGACTTCTGGGAGTGGGCCATGAGAGGCCCTTCCTCCTGGGTCGCATTTGGAGAGTAACAGATTCCATGTTATAAGGACACTCGTACAGCCCTTCAAAGAAGTCCTCGGTGAAGAATGTGGGCCTTCTGCTGACTAAGAAGTACATGGATCCCACCAGCCCATGTGAGGACTTCAAATGACTAAGGTCCCAGCCCCAATACTTTGGCAGCATCTTGTCAAAGACATCAAGCCAGAGCCACCCAGTGGACCTCTCCCAAACTCCTAACTCAGAAAACTATGAGGTTAATAGAGCTTTGTTTTCTTAAGCCTCCAAGTTTGGGATTCATGGCAAACAGCAACAGATAACATAAGTAATCATCAAATGAGTGAATATACAATTGGTAAAATACTCATATGATGCAATGCTACTGAGCAATAAAAAGAAATCAGCTATTACACATACAACAGGTGTGTCTCAAAACAATTAAGAGTAAAAGTTACTAGAATGCCCCAAAACAAACTGACCATTTATGAAGGACTACAGACCAGTAACTGACCAGGAGTAAGGAGGATTGACAAAGAGAGAAGGAATTACAGAGAAGCAAAAGGAAACTCTAGGGGCACAAAATATGTCAAACCTTACCAAAACGTATAATTATGCACTATGTATACTATTCCACAGTGATGCTGAAAAAGCATTCCAAAAGAAAAAAATGTTTTCAAAATTATAACATATCATCCATATCCTCCAAAATACTGCATTCCCAAAATAAAAATGTATATGCATTTGAATAGCAAGAGAAGCATTTTAAGGAACTCATTAATCTCACTTGCTTGCATCTTTCTGAAAAAGACCTCACTATGTAGTTCTGGCTGGTTAGAGAGTCATTGTTTGTTGCCCAGGCTGCGTTCAAGCATACAGTCTTCCTCAGCCTCCCCTTGCAGGCATGCACAATCACATGTTGGTGTTACAGGAATGCACCATTGCATGTGGCTGACCTATGCATTTGTATTTCATCCTTTATGGTGAAGACGAGGCTGCTGATACCTAGGCACCTGAATAAAAGCTGTTTCCTATTTGCCGACATCAAGACACACAGCTACCTAATGACAAACTTTCCTGATGCTGAACTGTGTACAGAACTGCTTTGATTAGCCAACTGGAGTCTCATCTCAGCTCCTGGTCACTAATCCACACCTCGCTAAGGCACACATTTCTTCTCAGATGCTAAAGGCAAACAGCTGCAACT